TCGGCAGTTTTGTGACGGGGCAAGTGCCGTTTGCACGCACGTGTCTCGATACACATCCGTAACAGAATACGAATCTGTAACAAATTACACTCACAGTAATACTCAGAGTTAACTCAGTAAGGGAGTACTTTAGCTTAGTTGGAATGGTACAAGAAATATTATTATAATAAATTAACCCAAATAAATCTGCTAATATTTATAAAAAAAAGAGTTCTATACGTTGACAAAGAGCGAATTTTCAGGCAAGTTTTTGACCTAATAAGAGCGTCGGTGGCTCAGTGGGCCACTTGACTTGCAATGTGCAGATCCTGGGTTCGAATCCCGCCATGTACCAATGTGTTTTTCCATTTCCGATTTACATATGTACATTTATCTGACGTTCTTACGGTGAAGGGAAACATCGTGATGCTGCACATATCTGAGAAGAAATTCAAAGATATGTGTGAAGTCAACCGGCACTTGACCAGCGTGGTAGACTATAGCCTAATCACCCTTAACTTAGTGGGACATATAGTGAGCTGATGATGAATGAATGAAAAAGTTGTAGTAATATTAATAGTGAAAATATTTACCCGGACACAGGTAAAACAGTGGGTACTTTCCATGGTTGCAAACATACAGGACATTTGTTCTTCCATCTAACCGCTTGATCACTTTTCTATAAAAAAAAAATCACTCAACAATCATCATTTCTCTAAAATTCTTGTGTCACAATTTTCGTTCCCATACTCCCCCGAAACGGCTTGACCGATTCTCATAAAATTTTCTGAGCATATTGAGTAGATCTGAGAATCGTCCAACATCTATTTTTCATCTCCCTAAATGTTAAAGGTAGTCCACGCCTAATTTTTTTTTTTACAAACACGGACGGAGTTGCGAGCGACAGCTAGTATTTTTATAAACAGTTGAATCAGAGAAGCGAGAATTCAGACCATGATTATGGTCTCGCTTATATAGGTTTCTTGCAAACCCGTGTTTCTCGCTTATAAAGGTTGTCCGTGGGGACTAGAGGATGACTATGACATAAAGAGGCTTCTCGCTTATCAAAATGTCATCTTATTCTTTTATATTAACTATTTGCAAATTTAATAAACAAATAAATCTTACTAATATTATAAATGCGAATAGATGGATGTTTGTTTGAAGTTATCTCCGGAACAGCTGTATTAAATTCGCTGAAATTTGGCAAAGATGTAGAATATAGTCTGGAAGAACACAGAGGCCACTTAAAAGTCTTTTAGACGGAGTCGTAGGCCACAGCTTATACGTATCTTACCTGTGGTGGTGTGGGCAAAGGTAGTGAAGTGATTGGTGAAGCTTTCGCCTCCCACCATCTCAGTAATTGAACACCAAATGCACCATACTGCACAACATTAAGTAACCCACGACCCAGTAATGGGAAAGTAAGTGTCACATCACTGGAAAAAAAAAGATATTTGATTATTAAAGTTGTTAAACAATTCAAATATACATAGTATTGGAGGCAAAGCGGGGATTTTTGGATTTACTCAAGCATAATAGTTAAACATAAGGAGGTAACCTTGCACCAAATTGTACCATATGGATCGCTTCTAGGGTAGCCAATCAAAATATTAGGCAAAAAAAAATGGTTAATATAGATACTAAAGCGCCTGACATTGGGGCAGTTAGAGTTAATTATATTCAGTTAAGTCTACATTTCAAATATTATTATAGACCGCTAACTATGGCTGGCTATTCTAAAAGTGGGATATGGACGCAGACATAGACAACGCAAATGCAATTGCGTATGTCTATGGGCAACGATCACTTCGCTATTTCAGCGATTTCAGGTGGCCGCTCGCTCGTTTGCCACCTTGTTATGTAAAAAAAATGGAACATTTGATTTATGGTAGGAGTACTTGATTGGGTGCAAGGTTACCCCCCCGTAAGTTAAACTGCCATGCTCAAATAAATCCAAAAATCCCCGCTTTGACTCCCTTACCAGAAATACATATACATATTCTCATACCTAATTTGTCCAGTCCGAAGACTTTTAAATAAATCAGACCAACAGTATTCTTCAGGTTCAGGAGTTGGTGCTTCCTTCACTGTAAGGCCAAGTAATGCAAAGTCCAATGCCGGAGATAATGTACTACCAGTCAAATAGCGAGCTAACTGGACAAACTTTGCTGCTTCTAATACGAAATGTGCTATTGAATATAACTTAATCGCTGATTTACGTGCTTGATGACTTATACTCTAGAAATTAAAAGACTTACTATAAAAAATTAGACTATATTTCAATCTTTAAACATAAATCAACATTTTAATACCATGAATAATATAGGTAAACTTTATTTTTCTCTATGAAAAGAAAATGCAATAGCAAATTTGGTGTTTCAGCTGTGGAATTTCACAGTTTTGGTTCAAAATGATATTTAAATTGTCAGCAACCAATGTGTCACTACCACTACACAGAATCTTACTCATATTAATATTATAAATGGGAATGTTTGGATGTTTGTTAGTAGGTAGGTATCTCAACAGCTCAACGAATTTCGATGAAATTTGCCATAGATGTAGAACATAGTCTGTAAGAACATATAGGCTACTTAATTTTTTTATTTTAATTCCACGCGGACGGAGTCACAGGCAACAGATAGTTTTAATATAACTTTTAAAACTGTCTGTAATTAAGTTTTGTTGTTAAATACTTATCAAACAAGCAAATCTGTACCTTGCCAAGTTTTCCATCTTCATAGTCTTCCCTCCATTTCTCAACAATTTTCTCAACTTTATCTTTGATATAGGGTACCAGAACAAGAAGTAATAAAGAACCTTTTTCCAATAGTTCAGGTAATCGAACACCGGAATGAAACTCATTGCTTGGACTTATAGGTACTCGTAATAAGCCATAGAAACACTCTGAGAACGAAGCAGCTGAAAATAAGAAATAATAAAAGTTTTAAATATATATCTTACTAATATTATAAATGTAAATATTTTGACATATGGATGGATGTTTGTTACGAGGTATCTCCAAAACAGCTGCATGGATGGACACTTATACTAACTATAATTACTAATGTAAAATATTCTCCTTTATTAATTTGGATCTACTTGTATATAAGTAGATCGTAGATTTCAAACTACAAAATATTTGTGGATATTAAGTTCAATAAATCTTACCATAATGTTTCAAATAATGATACTGCAAGCAGAAATCTAACAGTAAATACAACTCGTCGTACCATCTCTCACACCATGCATATCTTTGTGGATTGACAACTGCTAGGTACTGGAATTAAAAAAAAGTAATTGGGGTGTGGAAATAAATTTAAGAGTGCATATAATAATGCCCGAAAAATGTAGCGATTTCTAGTAATCAGTTAGTTTAGTAACATGTAATTTTGAGTAAGTGTAGTTCAAAAAGTTTTAAACAACACGTGCATAATAATCTTATCGGAAAGATATGATGTACGTGTTTATTTTTAGTTGTTTTTAGAAGTTATTTTATTTGTAATACTGGTTAATTAATTGACTGTTTGTTTTATAATTCATTTTACCTCTGCAAGTCTTTTCAACGCAGGTTTGACCGTTGCCCCCAAGGCTTCTTGAGCAGCAATTTGAAATACCGAAGGTGTACCTTGAAGAGTTCGTGTTAGATGAGCAGCGTAAACCGCCATGGTTACTATACGATTTTAGATCTTTAGAGTATTTTTTCAATTATTTTCTCTGACATTATCATAAATTCAGATAGATTTTTGTTTTTATTTATCATTTTTCGAGTTGACAATGACATATGACATTATGTGTAATATGTCGAGGTCAAAATGAATTGTTGCGTGTTTATGGAGAGGGCTACATTTTTTTTTGTTTTTGAAATCAACGTTTCAGAAATTGATTACAATTTTAACACCATTACATTAGCGTTTCCATTGCCCGTTTTGTAGTAGAAACTCGCGGTATGAACTCTATACGAGACATTCTGATCGAGGAGTTCTATTGGAAGTGGAAAAGTTTAAATTAAAAATATATAAATTACTAAAAAATCATTTATTAACTTCATATACAATATGATACAAATGTAAAAGCAATCAACAGCACTGTCGCATAGCCAGAAAATAAATCTTTAAGTAATTTAATTGGCAGGAAAACTATTTTCCTTTTTATTGAGCTGTCTAGCCTAAGTCAGGTGTTAGATTAGACTACAATTAAAAATTAACTTTTACAACTCTCTTGACAGTCCGTTACAAGCCATGGTCTAATTTAGCACCATTTACTTTAAAGCGAATTTAAAATAATTTACAAAGCGGGTCTATCATTATATTTTATAATGAACAATTTGGTCCTTTAAAACGAATAATATGTCGTCTATGCTATTAAAAAGATAGAAAATTTCAAAAACTTTATCAGTTGAGATGTGTTTTTGTTAATGCTGTTAAAAAATAAAATGCAGTCAAGATTAAGAATTAAAAACATAAACATACAACTAATTAGGTATTTGCGTTATTCTGTGATAAATAATTTTTATATTTTAGGTTATGTGGTCTTTCATCTGTCAAATTAATTCGAATAAACACAATTGAATTTATAATTTTTTTTATTAAGTATTCGAAATATATAATCGACAATAATTTAAAACAATTTATACTAAGTATATGAGTCCCGATTCCACATAGATCTTTTTAAGTTTGATTACAAAGCTTTATTCAATCTTCTTTTAGGCACATTAAAAGGAAGCTTATAGTTTTATCTCTAAATGTGATGATTGTTTAAGAGTGAAATTTATAAAACTAATATTTACATACAATTATTGTTATAATTATTACAACATATTTGTCATTTTACATATGAAATACATACGAGTGAGAATAATCGAGATTTTAACATATTTAAGTACTTATTTACCCTTTCTAGTTCTTAATACTTTTATTTGTTAAATAAGAAATATATTTTAAAAGGATATTTGTATTTAATTAAATATTAAAATGCCGATTACATAAATCATCATAAAATAAAAAACAAAAAGTTTATTTTAGAACATTCTAAATATAAATGAAATACAAGTTATAAATACATCATTGTTACATCTCCGAAGTTAGCAACGTGTACATATTTTGTCTCTTTCATACTGTGTACTAGTATCACTGACCTCTATAAATGGACTGGCTATAAGACAAGCTATTTTGTGCCAATTTCATTTTCCCCATTTTAGCGCTGATGGTAGAGACTGGTATCTGTGGTGTGGATTCGAACTAATAATATAGAATCAACTGTTACGTGACCTTCATCCATCCATTTATAGATTAGTATACATCCATCTCTCGTATAAGTGTAAACTAACTTCAGGGATATGAGCAGGCACATTTAAATAGTTAATAAAGCGTTAGTTATTAATAAAATTAAGAAAACAGTATTATTATTAATACAAAAATGTAATACATTCTTAATATACAATAGTACATAGGAATAAAAAAAAAGTAAATAATTTTATGCGCTTGCGAAACAAAATCTTCTACTGCAATAGTTCACACTATCTATACAGTTACATATTGTATCAAAGCTATTGAAAAACATCATTGATAAAAAGTGATCACAACATGTTTTCATACAAATTTTCGAAAGCACTTGTGAATAAGGAATGAATTTGTTGTAGTCAAAATGCTTTATGTCTTTTCGAGAACTCCCTTATTCCATTACTAACTACAACCAAAATAAAACAGATCCAATAAAAGCAAAACACATGAATAATTTTAAATAAAAGACAAAAATTCGACATTTTTGGTTTTTAAAAGATTTTTATATTTTCTCCTACTAGACTAGAAAGTTTGCGTTTTAATTATTGAACTAAATGAAGGCATTAGATTCAAATATTTCAATCTTAAAATCGTCAAAAAAATCTACTTCTTTTGACCAAAAATAAAGCGGCAAAAAGGCACTGACTTAGTCGATTTTTTTTTTAACCTTAAAATTATTTTAAGATCACTTAACAGTCCCTTATTTCTAAACACTTTTTTTTCGCATTCACTGCAGTACATCCCCTGACACTGCAATTTATTTCTATCTCAAGTATGGTCCAACTGACTGCAGTATGTTACAACTAACTTCAACGTGTCTAAACTAACTGCAGTACGTTCTTACTATCATCAGTATGCTTCAACTGTCTTTGTATGTTCCAACTGACTTTAGTATGTTCCAACCGACTTCGGAATGTTCCAACTGACTTCAGCAGGTTCCAACTGACTCCAGTCTGTTCCATCTATCTATTTGTGTTTGTGATGTACCGTTTCCCTAAGCTGCAGTGTTCTCCGGGGGCTGCAGTGTAAGATTACTAGCTTGCCGAAGTGTTGTATTGCGGTCTACCCGCCAGCTCTAATAGATATCTATCGGGATGTTCTATCCAATCAGCTGCGGATAGTTTGACCTGAAGAATTTTAAAATATAATTTAAATTATTGTGAAAAGATTGACAAAAAGTACAATTTCTGCCACAAAAAAATTGCTATCGTTGATTAGTACCAACAAAATCAAAATAGACAAAGTTAAAAATTTACTGTAAAAAAAACACTTCAAAAAATGAATGATAATTTAGTTTAAAACTTCTTGTCAATTTAAAATATATCCAATGAGATTATAAACTGATTTTTTTTTAACAAGCCTACTTACGTTTCTTTGCCTCTCTGCCTCGCGCACCTGCCATTTCTTAACTTCTAACTGGTTTTCTCTAGACGTTTGGTCACCACAGCCCCATACCTAAATAAATTTATAAAAATACATTTTTTCAACATATCTTGACATATTTTGACACGAGTATGTTCAGAAATGAATACAAAAATTAGCAATAACTTTTTTCACGTTAATTAAAGTATTTATTTAATATAGTCCACAAATTTACGAGAAGTCCGAAAAAATTACGTAATTTATCGACCCTGCGCAACTTACTCTATGATAATTTTTCTCTTTGACATAGACTATTAAAGCCACAGAGTATATCATTAACCGAAAACAATTTCGACCTTTACTATATTTTTAATATACTCTATGAAAAATTTATTATTTGCAATAAGAAATAGAGCAAAATATTTATATACGTTACTTCAGATATTAGCCAGTATGTAGTCTTAGAAAGAAAAGCGACACTGTGCCGGTGTGGCGCAACACTAGTCTTACTAAAATGTCAACGTCAATGTCCCCTCACTAATCAATCTGACACTTGACTTTGTAAAAGCGCGCCATTCACGTCAAATTATTCTAAATAATAATGTCTGAAAGTAAGTAATAGAATACCTCGATAGCCTGTATCGTGTAAGGCACGCCCTGGAAGGTGAAGGAGTCAAAGTCATCATTGACACACAACAGTGGTTTCCGCGGGTCACTACCAGCTCGTAAGCCGCGCGGATAGCCACGGATTGATGTGTTGAGGTAGAGCATCTTTGGTGCTTGCTCTATTACTGCGAATCTATGGATAGAGCACAAAACGAATTAATCTTTGACAGAAGTTTAAAAAGAAAGATGATAAAGCTTGTGACACTTTGCTTATTTTTAAGTTCATGGTTAAGAGCGTCGGTGGCTCAGGGGTTAAGCACTTGACTGTATTGTAGGTCCTGGGTTCGAATCTCCCCATGTACCACAAATTTTGTCGATTTCCAATTTACATATGTACATTAATCCGACGTTCTTACTGTGAAGGAAAACATCGTGATTTTCTGTGAAAAGATTCAAAGATATGTATAAAGTCAACCCGCACTGAGCCAGCGTTGAGTATGGTCTAGTCACCCTTAACTTAGTATAGGCTAGAAACTCGTCAGTGGGGACGTATAGTGAGCTGATGATGATGATTTAAAACTTACGTGGGATAGAGTTGTATAAGAGCGCAGTCTGGTCCGCCCCAGTACTGGTGTGTTTCTTTCCATTCTTGCGGACACGCTATCACAGCTGTTATCTCCTCTGCCGCAACCACCACTAGTGTTGGACCCCTGGTAAAACATTTCAACATACAACGTTTTGTGTGTAGACCATATCTGATCCGGATCAAAAGTTCGAGTCAAATAGACTTGAACCATTGAGCTGCTAAACAAATTAATTGACAGATCACAGCTCATCGCAATCTTACTAATGTTATAAATGCAAATGTTTAGATAGATGCTTGTTAGAAGGTATCTCAAAATTGCTGCATGGACCTCGCTGAAATTTGGTATAGATGTAGAACATAGCTTGGAAGAACATATAGGCTTCTAATTATTGTTTTAAATACCGCGTGGACATAGTCACGGTCGACAGCTAGTGTATTGTAATTTTGTTAGCTGACGAGTCGCGAGCTGCCTAACGACTCGCAGTTCCCACATGGAATCGCAAATCATCATCAATCTACGCATGTACAAATTGAGCTGAGCTGCGAGTCAGCTCACTGATCTGCAGGTCATCAATGACTAATTGTATGAATCTTTCGAGTTATTTAATTTAGAAACTCAAATACCTGTATGCGAGCGTGTGATGTAAGAATCGGTTAGCACCAAGGCCGTGTTCCCGCGAGGCGTAGAGGGGAGCCCAGTGTGAGGGCACCGCGCATACAAGCCGTGCCAGCCACAGCGCTGCTGCAGACCCACCACCTTACAAAATATAACTAGTGACTAACAAAAAAAACTAACTGCTACACTCAGAGTTGATGTTCCCTAAGAGAGTCCTTTCCTAAGAGAACTTGGTCCCTCACTAACAGGACTTGGATGACGCAGTTATTAAGTGCTTGACCGGATTGGGCTGAAATCTGCGCCTTGGTTCGAACCCTGACATATAGCAATGTATTTTTCAATTTTCGATTTACATATGTAAATTTATCTGTAGTTCATACAGTGAAGAAAAACATCGTGATGCCTGCAAATATCTACGAAGAAATCCAAATGTGAGAAGTCAATCAATGTCAATGTACTGGGCCACCATTGACTACGGAATAGTCACCCCTAACTTAGGGTAGGTTCTAAGCCCCTTGATGCGGATATGACTGACGACAACAGAATCCTTTAATGTAGATTTCTCATACTAAACCAAGGAAGTACACCAAGTCTATTTCCCTATTAAAAAGGTCCATTACTGACGTCAGTTCCCAGGGTGCACTTACCCGTGTGTTGTGCTGGAGGAGGCTTCGCCGGTCTGGAGTAGACCGGTGGTGCGGTGGCGGCTAGAAGCCAGGCGGCTGAGACGGGCAGGAGAGCACCGGAGCCCGCGTGCCACGCGCCGCGCTCCAACACCGGAGTCGCCAGTTCTAAGCCCGCACCAGAACCGTTTGATTCCACGTGCGCTTCGATGTCACGGTGACGTGTTGCTAGCATGTGGACGCAGTATCTTTAGAGAATCAAAATTTGCCGGTTTAAAAAAACGATTGACTGTAGGGTACACTGTATACGATAACCGTGGGTTTCTGAGATTAAAATCTCTGTATAAAACATGTCGTCCATGTCATTTTTGACAAAACAGAAATCACACATTTTGATCTCAGAAACCTACGGTAAGAGGAAAACTAATTAAATGGGAATTTACTCGCCAAAGCCGTTTAATTCGTAAGAATCCTTATTCTAGTATCATAACAACGTATTCTACAATACAAAAAACGCTTTGACAGAATATCCCGTTTACGCGGGACTTTGAAATTAACACAAAAAAAAAATTGTTTTTAAAATCTTACTAATCTTATTAATATTATAAATACGAATGTTTAGATGGATAGATGTTTATTTAAAGGTATCTCCACAACGGCTGCACGGATCTCGAAGCAATTTGGCATACAGAACATAATCTGGAAGAACACGTATACTACTCATCAAGTTTTCTTATATCCGCGCGGACGGAGTAAATCCTAAATTTCTAAAAAGTACATTTACGTATCAATTTTCAAACACAATCACTTACCTGTGAACTGGAAATATTAATCTATGACAATGCTCTCCCAACCAACGCACCACGAAACCAACACTATGCGTGTCTTTCTTATTAAAACATCCATTGATCACCGCTGATAAGGTTTTATTTATCTGTAATTATATCTTCGGTCAAAGATCAACTATGTGGTCTTAATCTTAAATGTTTAATTCACTCACCATTAGACACGTCTGTGGCCCTTCAGGATAATGGTCCATAGACAATTTGTAACTTATATAGAGTAGATTTTTTAAACCATCTGGAGTTACAATACTTTCATCCGAATCTGAAGTAAACATTCTGTGAAAAATAAGATTTTTGCCATAAATATGGAGCAACGATATCTTACTAATATTATAAACTAGGTGTCGCCCGCGACTCCGACCGCGTGGATATATAAAAAAAACTTAATTAGTGGAGCCCAACCATCCATCTATCCACATCACATCCATCTAAACATTCGCATTTATAATAGTAATAAGTTAAATAAAAAGCAGCTCTTCAAGGCATAAATTCGAAAAAAAAATGAATAAATAGTCCTAATCCTAATAAACCTATGTCCGTCTCCTGGCTCTAAGCTACCTCCTCACCAATTTTCAGGCATATCGGTAAAGCCGTTCTTGAGTTATAAATAGTGTAACTAACACGACTTTCTTTTATATATAGGTGCGAAAGCTTAGATGAATAGGTGTTTGTTAGAAGATATCTCCGGAAAGGATCAACGGATCTTATTAAAATTAGGTATAGATGTAGAACATAATTTTGAAGAACACATAGGCTACTTATTTTCGTTTTTAATACATCGCGGATGGAGTTGCGGGCGACAGCTAATATATTAATAATTATAAAAACTTAAATCTCAACTACCGATTACCAACTACAGGATGTCCAAAAAGTCTATAATTCCAAATTATCTGATCAACTAAATACATGATGTTTAATAAATAAGAAATTACAGAATACCGTGAATATTAAAAACAGGATGTTCTTAAATTAATAAATTTTACCTGACATAAGCCTCAATAATAGCATTGTCATCAAGCATGGCCATAATACGTTCGCATTGTTGTTTGAACGTCGACAGATTTATATGTTTGTTCTTGCATTTGCCTGTTTTGTGTAGATATTTGAAGAAGTGTCTCGCCAAATCCGGATACATTGGGAACAGGTATTTCTGCAAAAAAATACTACAATGAACATATCTAGATAGTATATTGTTTATATAAGATTATGTTTGGAGTATAGTCAAAAAAGGATATCTGTACCGGTGAGAGGCGCTGCTGTCGCGGTTGGTTCTATGAGAATATACAGGTTGTCCCAAAAGATTACGTACATAGGATGGAGGATGATGGGTCACAAGGGTCACCAGAAAAATAAAATAAAAATTCCCTCTCTGGGTATCAAAAAAAAATAAAGGACATTTTTTAAAAACTTAAAAATTTTACACCTTCTATAAAACCTACTTAGACATAATAGAAAAAATGACATGAAAACTACAGTACAAAAATCTTCTTATATTTTGATATAGCACCTCTATAAATTTGTATATATTAAAAGTAAAATGTTGTTTAAAAGAGAAAATATTTTCATACAAGTCCTTACAGTGGAAACTATAGTAACAACTGCAATTAATATATAACAATCCTTGTTATCATTCCGATCACTTATATATTAACAACATACCAATGTTAGTAGTTAAGATATCTACACAATTAATAAAATTGGAATGTCTATAATAAATAAAAAAAATCAAATTTTTCGAACATGATGTATATGGTGCTTGTAACGGTTTTTTTTTAATTTTCGTCCGTCTGCTGTGGGTTTTCAGTACCGAAATGTATATACAAAAACATATTCTTATCTCTTTCAGTTCCTTTATAAAAAGAGAGATAACAATATGATTTTATACGGGTATTTTGGCAATGAATAACATAGGAAAATTACTTACAGTGAAACAATTTTCCGTAACTCCATTGACGCCATCTTCTTTTTGTGAGCGTTGAACCAGCAACTGAAAAAGAATGTCATGTTCATAATTAAAAATAATACATTATTTAACATAAGATTTCAAATTACTTGGCGGCTCAAGGTCATTACGCCCCGACACAAAATTAAATCTAATCACACCTAAAGAGGGGTGGCCCATGGATTAAGCACTTGACCTGTAATCTTTTTTTTTATATCATAAAGTGGCAAACGAGCGAGCGGCCACCTGAAAGCGCTGAAATAGCGAAGTGACCGTTGCCCATAGACATACGCAATTGCATATTCGTTGCCAATCTTTAATCGACTCAGGAGAGGATGCACAGAGAGAAAATATATTCCCTTACCATACATCCTCTCATCCGGAAAGTCCACTTTCACTTCCCATACTTTCCTTCCTTTATAAGAAAAAGGGTGAGAAGGGAAAGAGGACTAAAATTAGGCATCCGGGACGCACATTCATCAGACGACAAACAGACACAGACAAAAATACAAATTTATTTATAAGATTATTTAAACAGAAATATTGCAAATCAATGTTAACACGTTAGCTGCCATGTCGGACTATATGTTCGACACGATAATGTTTCAATCAGTCCGTGTCGGACTATGTTTCCGACAAGCCATACTTCCATTCTTATTTAAATAATAAGTATATGGGCAATGTAAATAAGGTATTACTATATTATTAGGTGTTTTCAATTGGTTTTGGACAAAATTAAAAAAATGTTTTTTTTATTCTTTTTTCAAAAAATCATTCTGGCAGCTAACGTGTTAATTGCATACATCTGATATGTCGAAAACATTTTAGTTTTCAATTTGTTATATTTATTTTATATTTCGCGTCTTACCAATTTAATAGGTAAATAATAAGAGATAAATTTAACTGTGACCTACGTTACGGTACACAACTTATCACGCAAAATTAAGCCTTAATAGCACGCGATTAGAGTTAAATTCGAATAACAGACAAATTTATTTTTTATATTTTAACTTTCAATTACACTGCACATAGACGTTATAAAAATAACATAGTCTAGGACAAAGCTTCATATGGGCGGAAGCAAACATGCTTCTTCCATGTACGGATAGACAATCTAGATAAGGCACAGAAAAAATTTAAAAATATATGCCTCTAGCAGCTGTTTCTTTCTGCTAGAGAATTGTTTTTTTTAACTTACACGATAGGTAGTTCTTACATGTCCATGTTTGATGTTAACCTTTGAATAGCTATCAAAGTATGATGGTTAAATCGACCGACAACCCTAATATAGTCAAACCGATATTACAATTTTGCAATTGATTCATTAATATTATTCAAAATGAAATGTTTTTTAATTATTGTTACTAATTTTATCGGAAATTCCAAAAGATTTTACTAGATTATTGTTCAGCATAGATTCATTAATAAAGATTATACGATTACAGTCTTTGGTATTTTAGATAAATTCGATATAATCTTTGAGTTTTTAATCGTTCACACTTTACTTTGTTTTAAATTTAATTACGTACTTTTTAGACTGCTCCTTGACCCGACTTCGTTCCTTACAATGTCAAAACCAATATTCATGTTATCATTATCAAAACGCTTCGAAAACAGATTTAGTAGTCCATGCTCGACTCGGTCGGGGAGACTGCCATGCACTCATATATTTCTTAATATAGTTATTTTCAAATATTTTACCGGCACAAGGGAATTTGCGCGCTGCGCAGTGCTCTCCCTCCGCACCTATTGCGCATGCACGCGCGAAGTTACGAGCTGTCAAGATATCTGAAAACTACTATACTACGAATAAAGGCTTTGTTGTGATCTTGACAATAGGTCTTTAAACGATGACAATTGCTAATAATTGAGACTGTTAAATAAACAGGAAGTGATTATATAAATCAGTTGAATGCTATGAATGTTTTTAAAAACAATACAATTATATTTAAACTAAAAGTTAATGAATTTTGCACTTTTCTTTAACAAAAAAAAGTTTTGTTTTATGAATAAACTCAAAAACTACTGCGCCGATTTGAAAAATTCACTGAGTAATGGGCTATATTTTTTCTATATATTTTTTTAATTGCGCGCAGGTATAAAGGATGTTCAATATTTGAAATGTTGGACTAATTGACTCAATATATATTGTATTGTAAAAAGCTTTAACTTGTTTACGACATTCGGGACTGTACCTATTATTTTCAAGAACTGTCTCAATGGGTTATCAGTTTAACATACTATTATTATTTCTAAGATAACATGAAAGAAGACAGGCGTGAATTGAAAGCAATTCCGCGCTTCGTCTGATGAGTGTGCGTCCCGGAGGCCTAATTTAGTCCTCTTTCCCTTCCCACCCTTTTTCTTACAAGGAAAGGATGGGAAGTGGACTTTCCGGATGAGAGGATGCATGGAACGAGAAAATATTTTCTTTCTGTGCATCCTCTCCTCCGTCGATTAAAGGTAGGCAACGCTTATGCAACTGCGTATATCTATGGACAACGGTCACTTCGCTATTTCAGCGATTTCAGGTGGCCGCTCGCTCGTTTGTTACCATATGATATATATCTATCGACTATTTGTGAAGTTATTCCGATTTGAAAGACCGATAATATTTATTCACCTTACACGTAGGAGCCGCAGTCGTTTTCCTGACTTGTCTCACCTGTATACCAACTATAGTAAAACGCAAATCGTTTACAACAACTTTCCAACGATCCATTACTAATACACAATTAAAAATAAATGTATTGTTACGAAGAAAATCCGACACTGTTCCGGTGTGGTACAACACTAGTCTTATTAAAATGTCCACGTTTATGTCCCCTCACTAATCATTCTGACACTTGACTTTAAAGCGCGCATTTCGCGCCAAATGATTCTAATTAATAATGTATAAAAATATTTATAATATTAACAATCACTTAACTTTACAACAAACACCAATATAAAATTGATTTATATTAAAACTCCTACACTACACTACACTCGACTTAACGGTTGTGTTCTCGCGTTTACAACAATGGATATGAATAAAAACAAATCGGTTATATCTAATATGATAAGATAGGGGCTAGTTGATGTGATTTGTCGGATAAGAAACGCATTAGTCGTGTCGTTGACTAAAAAGGTTCCATTTAACATGTAACTCTTTCCGTAACGATGTATACTGGGTACTTGAACGCGAATGAATGAAATCAAAAACATAATGCGATGAATTGGTAGTCATTGACTAATTATAATTAATTAACTTTTATTAAACACTAATTGTCGCCCGCGACTGCGTCCGCGCAGAATTATTAAAATACACAATTAGATTATGTGTTCCCACAGATTATGTACATTAATGCTAAATTTCATCAAAATCAGTTAAGTCGTTCTGAAGATAAATAATAGCATTCGTCCATCTACACTTTCGCATTTGCAATACTAGCGGTCGCCTGCAACTCCGTCCGCGCGAAATTAAGAAAAAAACATTAATCGTAGTAGATAGTGTTGCCAAAAATTACAAAGAAATTATGCAAACTAGCTGTCGCCTGGGCCTCTGTCTGCACGGAATCTTATGGTGTCTTCCTATGTTCTACTTATATGCCAAATATCATCGAGATCCGTTAAGCCATTCTAACCACCTAAACATTTGCATTTATAACATTAGAAAGAAGAAAGATATATCTATATGTATAAAAGGAAGTCGTGTTAGTTACACTATTTATAACTCAAGAAAGGCTTTACCGATATGACTTAAAATTGGTGAGGAGGTAACTTAGAGCCAGGAGACGGACATAGGATACTATTTATTAATTTTACCTTTAGATGGATGTGATGTGGATGGGTGGATTGGTGTTTGAAGATATCTTAAGAACGGCTGAACAGATCTCGATTACATTTGAATAGAATATAGTCTGAAAGAACACATGGCTACACTAATTAAGTTTTTTATACATTCACGAGGACGGAATCGCGGGCGACAGCTAGTTTATAATATTATATTAAGTAAGATTAGTCAGATGATTTGTCGCAAATCTTAGGACGTTACGGTCGTTGTTTATATTTTTTCGTAGCGTAGCGTAGCTAAAGGTCAAAAGGAAATTAACTAAAGAATTGTGATCAATACGAAAATTATATTAATAAAAAACAACTAATCATATCTAAATATACTTTTATAATAACCCCACAGAAGACTGTTAAATAATGTTTTTTTTTTTAATTTCTTACGAATTGCAGTTCAATACTAAATTTTAAATCAAACTTATTAATTAGTTCATTGGTATACTTAATGGAACATCGAGGCACTAATGACGCAAAATTGTTGATTCATATCACGTATCATGGAGAAGTGCAAATAGATCTGACAAGTGTTTGCCGCACCATGTGATCATCTGCAAACATCGCACGTGACGTATTTAGGGTTGTCACTACTACATAAATAACGAGACTTTTAAAAATAACGTGAAGATTAGTGTGGTTTGGAAATGTTATGGATGATGATGATTTAAGCAAAAAAGTAATGAGATTGTGGATGGCTACAGAGGTAAAGGAAGACCAAAAAAAGTATGGAATGACTGTGTGAAAGAGGATATGCGTAGGAAGGGATAGATTCGGATATGACGGCTGATAGAGTAATATGGAGGAGTAAATACTGTACTGACCCTCTATAGGGATAAGGACAGGTTGTTGATGATGATGATAATGTGAAGTATGTAATGATTCATATAAAACTAATCGAAGAAGACAGGAAAGAAGTGTGGGTGTTGTTTTTTTTATATTGGAGTAATCAATGACCTGGCCTCACATAAATAGAAACGGAGTTGCAGAAACCTACTCCTAATACAAAATCAATAATTTTATTAAAAATTAGTCACTGGTTTCCGTATTATATCATGATGAGATAACATCTACTAAGGAATCTGTGTCATTTCCTATTAACTTTGAATCCTACTAATATTATAAATGCAAAAGTTTGAATGCATGGATGAACATTTGTTACAAATTATCTCTAGAAAGCTTAACGGATCTTGCTGGGATTTGGCATAAATTAAAACATAGTCTGGAAGACACCATAAGATTACTAGCAGACAGAGTCCCAGGCGATAGCTAGTTTGCATAATTATTTTTTAATGTTTGGCAACCCTATATCTAATATTAATTGACCCCATAATCAATGGACAAGTTGAATACAATCACAACTTGTTTTATTGAAACATATACCTTTTTATATCTAATGTACATGGCATGGTGTTCAGAATTATTAAAGAAGAATAATAATTTTAACTAACTATTGCCCGTGACTTCCTCAGCCTACGTTAAATAAATAGATAGTAGCCCATAAGCCCTCAGTATATGCATATAAAATTCCATTAAAATCTGTCAAACTGTATCAACAGAGTATAGTAACTAATATTGTGACCTGAGATGAACATACTATGATTTGTGATTTGTAAATATTTTTATATATTTTACTTATATAATATAAATAATTGCACCTTTATGTTTTTAAACACAAATTAGGCAATTATAAATAATTAATTAATTAAATAACAGGTAAACAGATCAAAAACAATGTATACACAATGTCTGATAAATAAAACAGTATTAACAAATAAACCTAATAATATTACAATAGTCACAAATAACTTGTTATCCCACCCAGAGTGGGTATAGGTCTGACTGAATAGGTCTTTTAATTTTCAGCACTTTTCAGCGAAATATACAAAAACTGCTTATCATTTTTAACATTAATTTAAGGGTCTTTCAAAGATATAAATTACAATTAAACACACATATTTTAAATACAATACTGCACACAAAATGCTTTTATTATTTTGAAATTTGACATTTGTAAGAGTCAATTTAATCTCAGTAATTGCTTAATATACTACATAACTCACTTATGTATTATGAGTCATTCACAAATGTTAGATGTAATAAAACCAATAATTTTATAATCTTTTACCCCTTTTACACATATAAATTGTGTATTTCTGTTGCAAATTATTTTGTTATCAGTAGCTTTATCTTGATATTGTTACGTTGTTTCAGCCGCTATAATACTGATAGTGAATATGGTTAAATAAAATTTTACTTTTAATAGTTGCATTTCGTAATTATACTTCTTTATAAAACAAAATTTTTGAATTATGTTACCATGAAAATTACAACTTAATAGTTTAGCCAAAAAATCATACGCAATTTTTCGCAAGGTTAAATATTCATTAATTTAATGTACTATAACTTAAATAGGGAAGGAAACAATAACTAACCCTGACTACGACCTTGTTTGCATTAACATACCTTTGCAAGTTTTTCAACAGGTACCATTGATGTGGTTTGGGGAGGTTCTATCTTCTCGGGCAGTTCCCCACTTGATCCTGACCGTGTACCTCGCTGCGATCCCCGAGGAGTGCTGGAACCACTACCTCCTTCGCCTGAAGACTTTTCATGGCTATTATGACTTCCCATTTTGTTACTATTCTTTAAGCATTTAAAAACCTCGCTGCCTCGGAATTCACTTTAAAATCAAGAACTAAACTCTTTAAAGTAGTTATTATATAACCCTAAAACTTAAAACAAACAAAGTAATTGTAGTTTCGTGCAATTATTTGGCGATCGGTCAGACACAATTGGACAGATGGTCTTGGACAGATCATTGACAATTTGATTTGATAAAGACCACCACAGATTAAATAAAAATCACACAGACTGTGCAAAATCGTAAATCGCAATGTTCATCGTAGTGACGTAGCCAACTGAAATCGATTTCATTGTTGTACGAACAAATGTTTGTCGATTTAAAATATTAAGGCAATATTCAATTTTCCTTGTACCGGCAAAAGGCGATGGGTAAACTATAAAACTCTCTAATTACTATTCAATTTGGTTGACACAATAATACAAATACATTACTAAGAAAAACATATATTACCTAATTAAATAACAAGAATTTAAATTTTTCATAATTAATGGTCAATTAAGTAATTAAAGTCTTAAAATTACTGAACTGGTTTGAGTTTTTAACAAAGTTTAAAAATGTATATAGGGATATAAAAATCGATTTTCACGAGATGCAAATCGATATATTTTGTACATTATTGGTGGTTATTGGTTAATGTAGGGAAATCTTTATAAGTATTGAACATCTGAAGCGTGGACTCCATAAAGATAATAATGGGCAAGTTGTCTTCCGTTATGGGTAATTAAAGTTATTCTTGGAGTGACTCCTGTCAACAACACAGGTCGCACTGGTAGATCGGAAGTTACTTCTGCCGGTGATAAATTCGCCAAATGTTTTCTTAACTCGTCCCGCGAAGAAAACGTTTGGTCGCCATAAATTACTTCTCCCTGCATAGGATGAACCATTTCCCATGGTAAAGTTGTTTCGAAATATCCACCTTCGCCCTGAAATCGAATTCAAACAGTTATTTTGTCATGATATTTCTTTTTTCTTATTCTTTAAGATAATCAACTTACTTCAAAGTTAGAAACGGCGTAATGATTTCCTCTTTTAGCAGTGACAACCGATACTAAGGCACCTTCTTTGTTGACGATCGGTGTGCCAGCAATATAGTGATTAGCGGACTCGAATGTTGGTGCGCAACGCCATTGCGCTAAACGACCGTCGCTGGATACTATCAGGACACGCTTACTACGGTTGATAAATACCTAGAAAAATAAAATAAAATCCTTGGTTATTACGCCTAACAAAATGATATACACAAATTATCATGGTCAAATATGTTGCTATTAAGTTTTGACAGTACTTTCTTGCGGTTGAGTTTTTGACATGTTTGTCTCAACTAGCAGTTACTAACTTTATGTCCATTACGAAAAAAAACATTGTTATGTTTTAGGTATACCTTCTCAGCTGTATTTTCATCGAGTCGGACAAAGGCAAGTTCGCCGAGCGGCGCTAGAAGTTCCTCGGCGAACACATCGCAGTAATGATGAGTGTTGTTCACGCGTTCTTTAACCTGGCAACACAGATTTTAAATCACAAAGTTTTTTGACATAGCAACAATACCAGTGGCAAAATGTTTTTTTTTAACTTTTAAAGAACTCTTTTCTCCTTCTACATTCGTAATTCTACGTCGAAATGTTTATTAGCTACCATCCTTATAAATTCCGTACTATTTCTATCGCAATTTTAACCTTGCCAATTTCTTTTCGTTCCTTTCCAAATCTTACTAAAACTATCGTGTATGTAAACATTTTTACCTCCTCAGGGGTGCAGCAATGTATAGGTACTACTGTGCCAAAGCTGGCATACCTCTTGCCGTTCTTATGATGCAGCTCAGCTGGTATACATATGGACTCCACCAGTCCTTTGTAAATTTCATTCAGCACCGTGCGTTTAGACATAGTGGTATACTGTAAGAAAACAAAGAAGTATTCAAAGAAAATTTTAGGTTTAAAATCTTAATTCTTACTAATATTATAAATGCGAATGTTTAGATGGATGGATGGATGTTTGTTTGAAGGCATTTCTGGTATGGCTGAATGGACTTCGCTGAAATTTGGCATAGATGTAGAACATAATCTGGAAGAACACATAGGCTACTTAAGTTTTTTGGCGACACCTAGTACTTATATATAAAGAGAAAGCGTTCGTTTTACTCAAGAACAGTTTTAATGTCGTCGCCATTTTTATTATCTTTAATTTTTTGTATTGGATAGTCTAAGTCAGGGGTGGCCGAATTGACGAACTCGATTATTAGTCCAGACGAACATAACAAAGAGAAAAATAAAAATAACGTAACGGAAGATGCTCAGATGCTGATTCTAATTTAAATTGGTATCAGAATTATTGATTTTCTTTTTAATAAAATATAATAATTTAGTACTGTTTTATTTAAGATTTCAAAGGTTTCGTCAGCAAATAGCTCTCTGGTTTAATCAAGTTAACCACCCCTGGTCTAGTTCTTACCTTAGTCTTGTTTAGGAAATATTTATTAATAATCCTAATAAATCCTAACTAATCGAAGTAATTAATTGGAGCGACAACAAACAAAAACAGTTTTCGACACGCCCTGATAATCTTATCTCGCATTAATTAAATGATAAATTGTGAATTAATTTTAATTTTATATATTGTCTTCTATAAGGCCTTTATAATTTACCAACGAACTTTCTCTCTCTCTCTCTCTCTCTCTCTTTCTTAATAAAATGCACTTAAAAACATCGAACAAATGTTATTTAATATACTATAATTGAGTATAAAGCCAAAGCAAAAAAAAAAAACTTTCTGGCTATTGAGAATAAGACTTTTTCAATTCAATACAATATAAGAATGAATCTACTTATTAAAAATAACACCAAAATGCAACTGATTCTTGGAAAAAAATGTTTTGTAAAATTACGGCGAAAAATTCCAAAACCTGAATATTGATAAAAAAAAACAGCAAATCTGCCGCCAATTAACAATAGATAAAAAATAAATAATTGTATTAAAAATCAAGTATTGTCTATGCTAAAACAAAAAAAATATTGGTTAGAAAAAAGTATGTCGGCATTTTTTACCACGCAACAACTTATCGTAAACATTTAACAATATAATATTGAATCAACGTATGCGATTTGAAAAAAAATCAGCAAAAATTTTCATCAATTCAAACTTCGAAGCGGTAATTAATATTTTTTTACATTTAAGAGGTGTTAGAATAATATCTCACCTGTAAATTCACAAACAATAGCTCCTTCTAGACGTATAAACAAAACTGAATCAAAACAGATTGCGATATACCGACTTTGTTTTTGATAACGTATCTTATTTTTTTGATAAGATGTTACCAACTGATGGAGGAAAGATGCTAAGCCGTACGTCATGGACTTGATGACGACATCGAATTTGAGGCATCCCAAATATTTGTTTAAAAAATAATGAGGTAAACAGCAACAATAATCACTACCCGCAGGTTAGGTAAAAAAAACTATTCGATCGAAAAACATTGTCAAAATCGGAGCACCATGGGCGGAGTTACGCAAAAAATACTGACCAATTGATAACCTCCTTCTTTAAAAAAAAAATATTCCAGGTGTTTCTATAGTAAAAACAGACGTTTAAAAAAATTAGGTTATAAAATCTTTTGTTATATTTTGAAAGGCGCATTTCGGTGAAAGTTTTAACATTTCATCATTTTACTATATTACTAGCTGTCGCCCGCGACTCCGTCCGAGCGGGATTAAAGACAGATGTTTGCCGATTTTCAGACCTACTCAATATGCTCACAAAATTTCATGAGAATCGGTCAAGCCGTTTCGGAGGAGTATGGCAACGAAAATTGTGACACGAGAATTTTATATATAAGATATTCACATTATTAACCATATCGAAGTACTTAAAATTGATGTTACTTTATTAAGAATTTTAAAAATAATACGCAATAGTAAAATCTTATATACCGCCTAACATTGAATCTTATCTCTGGCACAATATTGTCTAACATTTAAAGAAAGAATCAGTAAATTTATAATTCTAAAACGCAAAAGAACATTAAAAAATACTTACCGAAAAAAAGCAGCATCAGATTGGCAAATAAGTAATAACCTAAAAGCCAAATGCTTTACAAATAATTTAATTATAAGCTCATAAAAGCAGGGACCAATGATTCAAGACGCTATACTCTCGTACCAGTCAACAGTGACTATGCAATCCATTTCACAGATGTATTTTATTCCTATTTTCAATAAAAATACCCGAATATCATGATCTTAATGTTGCCAGTGATTTTGGTATACTAAAGAAGAGATTTTTGTATCTTTATTTGTAAACCTATCAAAAATTGAAGACAAAATAAAATTATATTAAATTAACCCTTTAACATTGTTCGTTTAATTATGATGCATATAGAATAACTTACAGTTTTTCCGAGGGTAAAATGAGACAATTAATATAAAATAGAAACCACTTGATGAGAACCACAAAAACATTAATTAAAACTTCACAGCTTTTTGACATCGTACGTAGTTTTAAATTCTTCAGGCAACTTAGGCAACTATTTCCGATGTTTAGTCTGTTGAGTCGATTTTTTTTTTCCAAAAGTTTTTTATCTCTTTCCTATGATTTTGTCTCAAAATTCTAGCTTTCGCCATTAGAACGAACAAAGAAATTAGATGTCCATTCATTGTATTATCCCAGTTGAATACATAAGCATGAATAAAAACATGGTAATTTTATTACAAAGACTGACAATTGTAATGTATAATATTTTAGTAGTACATTAATTATCTATTTGTTACAGTAATTTTATGTATTTAAATGTTATACATCGTAAAACACATTAATGGTCTTTTCAGTATATTCATTTGTGTATAAAACACTTTGATATACGTATATCGTAGTTGTTTGTCAATAAATCTTAATATGCAGTTGTGATTTGTTGTGATTATAAATATCAGATTGTAATTTGAACCAACTGTAAACCGTTAAAATGTTGTATAATAAGCTTTATGATGTAGGTAACAAGAATCAAACGAACGTAAAAATAACTTTGCAAATGACAATCGGGGATTCCCCGTTCAAAACTTCGGAACGTTTCGTTTCATGTTCATCATTTTGACATATATTACATAGTCTTTGACATAACAAATGTACAAAAAAAATTGTAACATGAAGTTGGGATAATTTATAACAATTTATGAATATATATTTATTTAGTTAAAATTATTATAACTCGAAAAATAAAGTTCATAGAGTAATAAATCGGGTAAAGTAAAGATTAAGTTCTAGCAAAAGTAAGTAAAATAACAAAATAACATTTAGATTGTAGCATATATATTTTAAATTCGTTTATCACGTACTATAATCTCTGTTAATAAGTATAACATCAAAATCAGTGCCGGGGGCTCGTCTTGCTGCATGCAATCGGGCAGGACTGGTGGCACACAGTCGTGCGCTTAATGCTGGGTCACGATACAAAACCTTATTCCCGCTGCGACCCACAATTAGAACATAGTGACCTTTGTAACGACCACCGAACGCACGTCTGGAAATGCAAATACTAAATATTATTCGTGTGCCTTAATTATAGATTGAAACATAACGAAAAGTAATTAAAAACTTTTTACGATACGTCATAATTATGATTTACTAGCTGTCGCCCGCGCGGAATAAAAAAAAACTAAAGTAGCCTTTGTGTCCTTCCAGATTATGTTCTACATTTATGCCAAATTTCAGTCAAATCCTTGCAGCTGTTCTGGAGTTATCTTCTCAAAAACAATTTCTATGAGATGAAGCTTCAACAGATTTCGTGAACAAGAAGGAAAGAGAAGGGACTCATCAAACTTGGGAACATAAAAATCATACAACTATGTAGAGAACAAAAATTCATACCTGAACTCTGCTTTCATCTTGTTATGTTTGCACAAATCACATATTAATAAGGGGGAGTCGACTAAAACAATGGCCGGGCCATTACACTCTACATGAGACAAGAGCTCTTCCATTCTTAACTCTTTCTCTTTTATTGAAATTCCAACTTCTTCGGCATTAGAAATCCGAATTTGTACTCGTTTACATGCCTTATAAAATGTATAAAGTATTAATTTTTTAATCTCATTTATATGTCACATGTTGATGAAATTGATTACCTGATAATTTATTCCATCATTGATGGCTCGTCTACTATTGACACCCTTTATAATAGTGTACATACAATGCTCAATACCAAATCTGTACCAATTATAAATTAAATATTAACAGCCTAACCAAAAAAAATATAGAGCTCGGAAGTACAATCTTGACAAATAAATAACAAAGTGCTTATACACGAAGTTATTTTGGTGATACATTAAGTGTTAAACAAATTCTTTTATAACCACATCAATATCCATAATGCCACCAGTGGTTAATGGGTACAACAAGAGTTTAACTAAACAGAGTCTAACTATAATTGTTGGTGTAATTTAGTAAGTATTTGAAATAATTAAAACATTCATTGCTATTACAATTTTTTGTACAAAACTGAGAATGCTATTTAATCAAAATTAATTTATATTATGTTAACTTTTTGAAAGTAACATTCTTAGAAATATATTGGCCAATTTATACCAAGTATAAGATCTTATAATATTTTCGTGCGCCAAATAATCTATAATTTTTACCTTTTTAATAAAAAACAAAGGTCAATAGTCCATGTTGACTGTAGGAATCCTTCGTCATGGCATATCTTTGTGAAATGCTTTTTTAAATAGTCTCTTTGTTCTAATGAAAGTAACATCATAACACATGCAATGCCACAGTCCCAATTAAAACATTGTTGGTAATGATGTACTTTATGCTCAATATACTTAGGTTTTGTAGGAACTGGAAATAAGAAAATCTGTTTATTTAGTATGTATTTTACTTTTTATTAAACTCTACTCAATTTCATTACTTTAAAAATAGGAAATTATACATTTATAAGAATTAACTTATCACAAAAGATATCGTCGAAGACGAGTACCTATAGTTTTATAAGTTTGCTTACTGTTATCTCTTGTAGACATTCTTTCCAACTCTCGTAATGTGTGTTAATATTCCCCTTTTTTATTATCTACCTTTTTTAATTATCTTCCTGCTTAGAAATATAGAAATATTATTATTCGATTATTAATAAAAAGGAAATGATACAATATTTTGAACGAAGATAAAAGTATTGTTTTGAATCTCGTATCAAAACAGCTCAATGACATTAGACATTGACATTTTCAGTTTTTTAAATCCAAATTCGACAGGAATTGCAAAGCAAGTTGAGGATAACTACTGCATTCACTTTTGCTCATGTACTTTTTAGTGTATTGTAAAGTTTCTAGTTCTCGGGCTACCTATAGTTGTTAGGTTCGTCAAATTTCTTAAAAATGACAACAGATTCTGGCCAAGGTTCTCTTTTGGGTAGGTTCACAATACAAAACCAATATAGCAACATTTCAGATTTTCAATTTGACATTGACAAACAGCTGATCATTTTGTTGACAACTTACCGTATAAATATAAAAAAATAGTATTAAATAAAAAATAGAAAGAAAATGTCTTTTATAACAAGAAAAACATTCAGATTATTACAACTGCGAAACTTAACTTATAGTGCATGTAAAATAAGACAGTATAGTACAAAAACGAAAGCGACATTCAGTGAAGAAGAATCCGATAAAAGTAAACAAACTCATTTTGGTTTCAAAACAGTTAATGAGGAAGAGAAATGGAAAAAAGGTCAGTCACTTTAACCATTAATAATAATGTAATTTAATACTTGTACTTCGAGGCCAGAATACTTTGTTAATTTATCAAAAAGAAATATAACCTTTACTGTAAGTACTAGAAAGTCGTGCTCTGATTAAAAACAATTATATATTTAGACGTGTACTATTGCATTTCTTTTTAACTAACATTTATTTTACTTTCAGTGCACGAAGTATTTGAAACAGTTGCTGAAAAGTATGATGTTATGAATGATGCAATGTCTCTTGGCATACATAGAATTTGGAAGGATATTTTCATTCATAGATTAGCACCCACACATGGGACAAAACTCCTAGATGTTGCCGGTGGAACTGGTATGAGATACTCTGTAATAATTATCCATAAATAAGAGTTACTAATTCATGTTAACACATTCCTAAGAATTTATTACCAATAATTTTTCAGGGGACATTTCATTTAGGTATATAGATTATTTAAAAAATTTAGGTCCAGCACCTGAAAATAAGCAAAGCTCTGTCACTGTTAGTGATATTAACCAAGCTATGCTTGATGTTGGAAAACTTCGAGCACAAAGGTAAATAGCATTAGTATTCAAAAACCTAAGCTAACCTGCTTTGATCTTGTTAACACATTCAGTGTTACCAACACACCCAAAGTTTATTGCTATGTGAAAATCCTTGAAGCAATGATGGCGTTAAAACATGTCTCAATAACAGCAATTCGTGAAAACATAGAGCATAAATCAGCTTGCAAAAGTTGTAATAAGTCCATTTGTCTGAGTAACTTACAAAGTTACATATGTAGGAAAAGCATCACATTGTTACTTAGATGAATCAATGGCATTGAAAGTGTTATTTATTTTTGTAGACAAGGATATACAAAAGAATTGAGCGGTGTTGATGTTCAATGGTTGTGTAGTGATGCAGAAAAACTGTCCTTACCGGATGAGAGCTTCACAGCATATACTATCGCATTTGGTATAAGAAACTGCACACATATTGATAAGGTTTGTGAACTTTGGCATATTACAGGGATCATGTCAACAGTATTTATTTTAATTATTGCAGCTGAAACACTTACATGAGAACAGCTGTCAAAGATCTCACTCTTTAAAAAAGCAGTAATAAATTTTCATATAGATCTTTTGGTGATGGACACCAATATTATAAATGCGAATGTTTGGATGGATGGATGTTTGAAGGTATCTCTATAACGGCTCTATGGATCTCGCTGAAATTTTGTTTAGTTGTAGAACATATTCTGGAAGAACACATAGGTTACTATAAAGTTTTTTTAATACCGGGTAGACGGAGTTGCGGGCGAAAGCTATATATATATATATGTTGAATAACACAGTTTTCTGACATGTACTGTTTTACAGGTATTAGAAGAGGCTTACCGCGTACTAGCTCCGGGCGGTCGTTTTATGTGCCTAGAATTCAGTCAGCTACCTAATTCTGGAATGCAATGGTATAAATTAAATTTATATTCGTTTAAATTTTTTAACAACATAGTTTGTGAACATAAATGAACATTTCTTTTTTTAGGTTATATGACCAGTATTCTTTTCAAGTAATACCAGTATTAGGACAGCTCATAGCCGGCCAATGGAAGCCATACCAATATTTAGTGGAAAGTATCAGACAATTTCCAGATCAAGTAAGTCTTCCTGACTTTAATTCCATTCTTTGTTCTTACTTTTCTAATTTTGTAGTTTTCTATTATTTTAATTCGAATTTTATTATTTCAGGAGAAGTTTAAAGGAATGATAGAGGACGCGGGATTTAGGCAGGTGACTTACGAGAATTTAACATTCGGCGTCGTCGCGATTCATTCAGGTTTTAAGATATAGTTATTAAAGATAATAATTTATTAAAATTAGTTAATTTATTTAGAAATTTCAACAAATAAATTTAAGTCAATACGACTACTAATTTAATCCATTAATACAACAGATTCAAAGATCAACTAAGACAACTCATTGTGTAACTAAAATACTACTAACTGTGGGTTTCCAAGTTCAAATTCACTGTTTAAAACATATTGTTATCTCTGTTTCGTCAGAGATGAAAGACAAGGATAACGATATCTATACTAATAAAGCGGAAGTTTGTTTAAAAGCGATAATCTCAGGAACTACTGGTCCTATTTGAAAAATTCTTTTTTTGTTGGATAGTCCATTTATATAGGAAAGCTTTATATAACATTACTCTGCGACACATAGTTTTTTAATTCCGCGCGGACGGAGTCACGGGCAACAGCTAGTATTTTATTCAGAAATTTTGGTGTCAGAAACCCACGGTTAATGAGTAACTAATTCACAAAGTGACGGACAGCAGTATCCTAAAAGAAAATGTGTCACTACTCTTAGCTAAATTAACATGGTTTACAAACTTACCTTTTATGTTCATAGTTTGATTTTTTAGCCGAGCCATCTTATCACATGTACAAGGATTGTCAAATAATTAAACATAATTTTTTTTAAGAGATATTTATTGAGTTCAAAGTATGTTGGTCTTTGGAATGCTGGTTCATTACCTAAATTACATTTCACACGCTATGATATCGTCAAAAATGGTTGACAAAAATAATCAGTCGAAATTCATAATAATTAAGTAACATTTTTTTTGGATTTTTAAAATTTGTAATTTACAATTCAATAATGTAAAACACAATCTCTGTTCTTTTGAAAACGTTCACACAGATAGAAAAATCAATGGAAAACAATGAACCGGCATACAATCTCTAGCACTCTCACTTTCGCACACGCCATAGATTTACTGTAAATATTGTATGAAAGCTCAATAAAGCATGCTAATTACATTTATGACATCGAATTGTTAGGGCTAAGACTAATGAGCAAAGCTAATGTATTCTCGCCTCAGGGCCGTGGCGCACCTACGAGTAGGATAATTACGCAGACATCGAGTAAAGCAAATAAAGTGTGAGTTAAGGATATCCAAAACAAACAATTAATATTCTCATATTATACCGAGCGTGCACTCAACATAAGTTATTTGGCAAAAATTTATATTAAAATCATACCCAAAGATCCATGATCCGGTGGTCCTGTGTTAAGAAGTGACGTCCGTATTCACAATCCAAAAAGTTAACAGTTCACGTCTACAAGCGATATCGAGCAGAATCCACAAGTGAGACCGCAGCCGTCCGAGATCCTTTGGTACGATCCGAAAATCCGAGTATTCCTGTGCGATGAGTGCGCGCGTCCTACCCGACGGTCCCATCCCATCCCATGCCATCCTATCCTACGGCATCCTGACTCACACCTCCAGCCAAGCACATCCAACGAGCCAAATCCACAGTGGATGAAACAAAAAAAAACGTACTTTTAATTATATCAACTCAATTACATACTACAATATCAATTTCAACTCGTTCTGTAAGCGACTCATTAAATACAAAATTCAGCATATTAGGGGTTTTTACATTTGTGACGAGAGGAGAGTGCACGTGACATGTCGCCTGCAAAACAAGTAGTATGGACATACATATGTTGATCTTATTATAAACATGGCATAGCGCTAAGTGGGCGCAGTCTCGGGGCTACGGGGTCGCGGCGCCCGGCCAGCCGCCGCTCCTCGCTCGCTCACACTGTCAAACAACATCACCTTCAGTCCGACACCCTCTACACATTGCCCTACACTTATCTCACACGGTCACCAAAAAAAGAGAAAGTTATCTGACCCGGTAAGCATACCAACAAAAAAAAAGGTCATGAAATCCACATTCTATAACTAGATCCCCGATTAATACAAAAAAAACAAAATCCTTGTTAAACCATAGCTACAAGAAAAAGAGTCATGAGTCTTCATCATCCGGTATAGTTTTTTTTTAAATAAGAGAAGAGGGCAAACAAGCAGCGGGAACACTGTGGTATTCCATAAATTAGTAACACTTACTAGCGCTTCGCTATCAATTTAAAAAACTGTTACAAGGTCCTTGGTAGACTGTAGCTTGCTACAAATTATTTTATGTCAAGATTTAAAAGGATATCTAACCTAAGTAATAAGTCAAACTAAATTTTGATATATAGACTGTCCTGTAGAGTTTGACAAAATGCATTCAAAAATGTATACTGTATATAATGTAATGTGTACTGACAATAACTTTTAATAAGTCATGTGTAGTGACTATCGTGCAATAGTTCCATACATTTTTGAAGTCCACTATGGAATCGCTTCAAAGCGCACTTTGTCTTTTCATAATGTAGCTGGCAAGTCTTTTATGTCTATGTAGGTTTTACATGATTTCTAACAGAACTTAGCAACATCTCTCACCGGGCCAGATAACTTTTTTTACTCTAAAACATTAGTAAAATAAACTAAGATAACAGATAATAAAATCTTATAATTTAAACTATGATGGACTCGGCAGGATTAAAAAGCACCCAACTAGACGGCCTGCTTATCATAAAAACTTTTTTTGACCAATAATAGATTACATACGAAACAGTAAATGTAAATAAAATGTAAAAAATACTATTAAAAACTTTGTAAAAATAATATGTTAACAGTAACCTCGTATACTTGAGGATAGCAAAAAAAAAAAGAAAAAAAAATAAAGTTATATGTAAAATAGTTTCTTATATCCTTTACGTGCCGCTGAAATAAAGTATTGATTAAATCACGTCAAATTAGGTATTTTCAAATATTGGAATTAGATTTTATTTTTCAATATTTTTTAAACTACTACATTTATGACACAGTTGATTTTTTTTTCAGCTTTCGCACTATCTTTTACATAGGATTGTGTGCATTTGTAAATGTAACGAATGTGTGTATTTTGTTATATGTATTTCATGTGTGTATAAAGATGAGTGTATATCAAGTGTGTAAAAAGCCTAGTGTTTTTGAAGTATGTACAAAGACGTTTATATTTCAAATTGTATAAAACCATTTCGTATATGTTTTTCAAGTGTGTACAAAGACGAGTGTATATCAAGTGTGTAAAGTCTAGTATTTTTCAAGTATGGTCAAAAACGTTTATATTTCAAAGTGTATAAAATCATGTTGTATGTGTATTTCAAGTGTGTAAAATAGTATATGTATTTCGAGTGTGTAATAATGTTTGTAAAGTGGTTAACGGTCTGACCTGCTCAGTAGTTGTGATCACGGCTGCGACTACGGCTGTAGCTGCGACGCACCGGCGAATAAGTCGGCGATCCGCGTCGCCGCGGTGAATACGACCGCGACCTGCCCGAAGCACCTCTATATACAAATATTCATAGTCCACGATACATGGTCCTAGATTTTGGACTATACTGCACAGGAAACCCAAAATAGGCAATCGGGATTCCTTGGAGTACACAGAAGACCCGGTATGTGATATAGTTAACGCATACTTAGAACAGATGAATTGACCCATGTTTGTAAGAATAAGGAAATATTTTTTTTGTGTATCAAAATGTAAAACGATAAAATTTCAATGTTGGTAATACACAAACATGTTTGAAAGACTGCGAGTAATCATTTACATATTAATGTTGTTTTTATTAAGAAACTAATAATTCGTTGCTAAATTCAAGGAGACTGCATAATGATAAAGTACTTTGATCTGAGGCTGTGATTTACACTTTAGCGGAAATAAATGTCTATGAAAGTAAATCATATAGGTATCTTACTAGTATTATAAAAGTGAGTGCTTGAATGGATGGATGGATGTTTGTTTGAAGGTATCCTGAGAACGGCTGAACAGATCTTGATTAAATTTGGCATACATATAGAACATAGTCTGGAAGAACATATAGACTACTAATTTTTAATTTCCTGCGGACGGAGTCGCGGCCGACATCTAGTTTAATATTACCTGTCACGATCACCACTGTATCTGTCACCACCACCACCGCCGCCGTAGTCCTCTTTCACCCGTATATATGATACTTCGCCCTGAAATTATACTTTTTTTACACATATGGCTAACTTAATTTGCATATTACTTTAAAAATGTACTCATTGTGTGGCATTAACATATGTAATGACATTAAAAAAGTAAGTTCCAATTTGCATGTACGATTACAATACGTCGCTACATTTTTTTAAATTGAAAGACTGGGTTAGTGTTAGATTTGAACTTGAACAAGAGAATTTTATATTCACCAAACAATTAATATTTCATCAAGTAATACAAGGTGACATATGTAGGTAATAAATTATATCTTACTTCATGGCTTCTAAACCGTGAGTCGTCAAGTTTTTTCACTGCATACTTCATATCTTCATGACGGAGAAACTCCACAACACCGGTGCCATCCTTGAAAGTGTCAGCAAAGCAAACATCGCCCGCTTCACGCATGTGGTCTTTAAGATCCTGGAAACAATTTTTATTTGACACTAGCTGTCACCCGCGTCTCCATCCGCACGGAATTTAAAAAAAACTTAATAAGTAGCCTTAATGTTCTTTCAGGACTATGTCCTGTATGTTAAATTTCATCAAAATCTGTTAAGCCATTTTGGAGATACATTCAAACAAACATCTATCCATCTAAACTTTCGTATTTATATTAGTAAGATTTAAAAAAATCTACACATTTGATTACTATCTAATTTAACGAAGTATGGTCTAAACCTTTTGAAGGTACTAATTTTTGAGGTACTAAGTTTTTCACATGTATGTATTATACTTTTAGACATTATTAGTTAGAATCATTTAGAATAAATGGCGAGCTTTCGTTACCAAGTCAAGTGTCAGATTGGTTAGTGATGGGACATAAATGTTGAGATTTTAATTGGGCATGTGATGCTATATTAAAATTATGTCCTGACTGATCTATTTACCAACCTGCCAAGATCCAGACGGTGGTAACCCAGTAACAAGCACTCTGTACTCTGAACGCCTAGCCGGAGGGCCTCTGGTTGCAGGTCTGGCACCGAAGCGGTCCCCTCCTCCGCGCCCGCCTCTTGCGCCACCTCCGCCACCGCCCCGAGGAAACTCCACTCGGAGACGATAACCATCATAATCATAGCCATCTCTTGCACGTACCGCATCATCTGCATCCCTGATGTGCAAAACTTATGTAGAAAAAATATTTTCAGCATTTAACCCTACCTAGCTCATATACCAAAGAAACATATGAACTGCTATTATGTAAAATATTAACCTAAAACAATTTCATAAGCAAAATATCAGTTCAAAATTCACCCACAATTTACATTAAAACTAGGCCAATAAATTGATAATGAAATTCAACTGCCATTACAATATCATCATCATCAGATCACTATATGTCCCCACCGAAGAGCTCGGAGCCTACCCTAAGTTAGGGGTGACTAGGCCATAGTCAACCACGCTGGCCCACTGCGGGTTGGTTGACTTCACACATATCTTTGATTTTCTTCTCAGATATGTGCAGGCTGCATCACGATGTTTTTCTTCACCGTAAGAACGTCGGATAAATGTACATATGTAAATCAGAAATCGAAAGACACATTGGTACATGGCGGGATTCGAACCCAGGACCTGCAGATTGCAAGTCAAGCATTAGACCACTGAGCCACCAATGCTCCATTACAATATAGAAAGGGAAAACAATATGTATTTATACAAACATATAATTAGATAGACATAAAGTTGTTGTGTGTAAAGTAAATTATCAATTTCTTATCTGTATTCAGTTTCAAAGCCCACTTAAACACTCTGAAGACCTTATCATTCTTATAATAAATAAGATACTTTGATAACATTTGTGATAATGCAAAATAAAAATGTAAGATTATATATTTTACATAATGATCTGACATGTATTGTTAGACATATGGCTGGTGGTCACACTAATTATTAGCGCTGACAGTCAAAATGTATTTCTAGACAGCGTTCATGCTGATTGTTATGCATTAAAGTATAAATCAGCTCTGAACTGGTTCTAATTCAGCATATAAGCTTGAACCAATGAGCTGCGGTTTATATAACTTGGTGACAAACTACCAGTTGCCTGGTGACCAGCAGTTTGCAGCTTGAAATGCAAATCATGACTCTATGCTGGTACAAATTAAGCTGTCTGCTATGTTACTATATAGGATTATAGATAAAAATCATGCGAGATTTAAAGATACTACTCTAACATGAGGTTACAAAGCGACTTATAAAGTTCGTAGCAAAATTGATCACCAAAAAACTGTTTCTGGTCAAATAAACGACACATGCTGAAATTATTTTAAAAAAGAAATGAATTGTAATCATATCAATAGATTATGATATGACATTATGACACGTTAAATTTTATAAGAAATCTTTAACCGCCAAAAATATTATGTTAACCAACATATTCTCACCTCGGATCCTCGAATTCCACGAATGCGAATGGTGGACCTTTTCTGTTTTTCAGATCGACAAATGTAACTTTGCCAAATTTGTAAAATAAATCTTGAATGTCCTTTGTTCTTATGTCCGGCGGTAGGTTCCCTACGTATATTCTGCACTCATTTCGGTTGCTGCTACTTCCTCCTGACATTGTTATAGGTTTTGAAAAATGTAAACTTTTAAATAACTATTTCCTTAACTTTAAAGTATTTATGTACTAAGTTACGAAGTTTTTTAATATATCTAGAATAAAATAGATATTTCAGCTGAAGCGTTTGTGTCAAATACAAGATGGCGGTAAACAGCAAACGACAACGATACGAATAGATCGGATATTCGTATAGAATGGCAACAAACAATCTTTTGAAGTCAACATTTATGACTTGCTTCTTGCTTACGCACGCGCTTTTATAATCATGACTCTTTATTTTGTTTCAAAATTAAAATTAATATACAACCTAAATAAACAATTTTTAAAACATTACCTAAAAATACATTTCAATGAAAAATATGTCGTTTCAAGAATATCAATCAATACTGAATAAAATGTGTGATCACTTTTAATTTGTATACGTTAGAATTAATCAAGGAAATACATAATTTTTTATAGAAATTCATTCTTCAAAGTGTCCTTCTTGGCCATATATATAACACGACATAACCGAGTTTTGTGTTTCGAATCGTTTTGAATTTCGAACGCCCTCTGCCGCAATTGGACAAAATCCGCACTGAAAGAAGCCTGTGAAAGAATCCTCTGGAAAGTAGGCATACGATCTCCGGTATCTAAATCATTACGTGAGAATTTGTTCTTTAGCCCGAAGTAAACGTGAGTATTTTAGTTTTAATAATATTCTTAGCTTTACTATTAATTCTAGTTCTTAAAATGGGTACATAATTTTAAGTTTTTCTTGATTTTCTCAAAAATTCTTGACTTCTAACGTGGGTGAAATTAATCTCTAGTCTCAACCTTTGGGTATCTAGCAAAATGTTTTATTGATTAAATTTCGTGAGTTTCTATGGGGATAAATTACACTGTGTCATATTCCTTTTTTAACGAAATCAAATTCATACTTTGAGCTCCAAACTAGTTCCTTTAATTCTATTATCTTGATGACTGGTATAACTGCTAAAGCTAAGATTAGGATAGCAAGAAAAAATCATCAGCAGTCGTTTACTAGCGCCAGGTAAAAATAATTCATTTTTTGTTGAACGCCTGAATTTTCTCCACTTTTGAAAATACCTTTTCATAAAAGGCGCGCTGATGTCCCGATTTTCGCGCCTGACCTTTACAGCATTCTATAAATAGTTTTGCTGTTATTGAACGTAAACAATCAATGGGGCTGTTATACGCATGTGGTGAAAATCTAGGTGTGAACACGGGATCGAAACAGGGTGGGTGTGAAGTTAGAACGTTTTATTGAAACTGCTGTAAGAACACCTATGGTTTTTATTTTGACGATTTCATGAAATTCAATTGTTATTTTTGACATATGTAAATTCATTGATTACATGACATATTCGGTTTTAATTAGCTCTTACATAAAATAAATTAAAACTAAAATACAAATATTAAATTTAAAAAAAATACAACTCACCAAATGCTAATTGTTGACATGGATCAGTTGTACAAAACATTACATTACAAGACATGCAATTGCATTGAACGGAATCACAGAACAATCATGATACTTATCCTCCCCCTCCCAATAAGATCTAAGTCAATAATAATACTAACTTCCTGTAAGCCCCCCTATATATTAGTACAGAAATATTGACAGTTCCCAGTCTTGTCTTATAATTGCAAAGAGTTTTTCTTTACCAAACACAAGTATGTCTTGGCGTGATCAAAAATCTGGGGATTTTGCCTCAAATACTGAACCATGGCGTAATTGGTAATCACAAGATTTTTTAAAACTTTTCTTTGTTTTAAAATTGTACCTGTCTTTCTACTTGCTGTTTATTTGTATATTCCAAATTTACTTAGGAAACTGTTGATGCAATAGTAAATTTAAAATAATTTTTGTGAACATCCTTTGAGTATATTTTATTACAAAAAAATGTACAACTGAACATGTTGATCCAGTTTTGAGACAATTCTATTCATCTATATCTAAATTTGTTAAACATTGTTGCAGCTATAAACCTGACAACATGTGCGACCGCAAGGCGGTGATCAAGAATGCTGACATGAGCGAGGAGATGCAGCAAGATGCAGTGGACTGTGCAACACAGGCCCTTGAGAAGTTCAACATCGAAAAGGTGATTATGAATTTTGATGTTATTTTTGTATTACATGTTTTTGTTAATTTACGAATATTCTTGTACCATTCCAACTGAGCTTTAGGTTTGTTAGTTTATGATAATATTAAAAAAGGATATGAACTCTCAACCTCAAGATCGGATATCCATACATTAAGCCAAAATCCTATTGGTGCTTAATATTTCTGATGATTCCAATGTGTGACTTTTAAAAATAAAGACTAATGCCATATATAAGCAAACTCTGTCGGCAAGAACTTGGCACTATGTTATTTGGTTTATCTAACAGAATTTGTTTACTGAAATAAAACATAAATTGACTTAAGGTAGAACACTATAAGCTTATAACTTAATAAAAGCAATATGGTCAATAAGATAAAAGCAGATTATTTGTGGTAGAAACTTACACCATTGTATTATATCTAATTTTAAACTGGTTCTATCCATAGCTTTACAAAACTCTATGCCACTGCTTGGCCATGAATTTGTGAATACTAATTCAATTAAAACACTAGCAGTAATGGAAAGTGTTAAATTGTTGCGAGGCTGATATGGGTTTCTTATCAAATTTTGGTTGCCTGTGATAAATTTTGCGGTTAAAATTAGGCAATAGTTTTCTCATAGAAAAAATTGATAAACTAGTTTGTTGCTTATTTGACCCCTTTATAGGTCAACTTTAATATCATATTTATAACTTAAAAAAAATTATGAATAATTGCAATGAAATATTGGAACTAAAGCTTGAATTTGAGTAAACTATCTTTATTGAAGCATCTCAAATGTCTAGCTGGATTTAAGAAATAATTAACACCAAATGATTGTCTTAGTATTCTACTATACTAATAAAATTTATTCATTTAAAAAAAAGGGTCTTCACCAAACTGATGGGCAGACAATAAAGTGGTCCTTTAAGGGGTTTGTTTTTTTTCCTCAAGGTATGGACCCCTAAAAAGGTCTGAATGCTTATGTATGTGTATACTTGCAGGACATTGCTGCCTTCATCAAGAAGGAGTTTGACAAGAAGTACAACCCAACATGGCATTGCATAGTCGGCCGCAACTTCGGCTCGTATGTCACGCACGAGACGCGTCACTTCATATACTTCTACCTTGGCCAGGTCGCCATTCTCCTGTTCAAGAGCGGTTAATCCCCTACTCTGCACCTTTGCTCTAAATTTTATGTTGTTAGCGATGGACATAGTATAACCGGGTTCGAGGTCCACCTCTCGAACAATCTGCCAACTCATCCCATGCACCGTGACAGGACACGACACTTTACATTCCTACCTGTAGGTAGCATTTACCTAGTTAATGTCTCCTATCTGACTCTTGGGGTGTGTTGACTTCGGGAGGTGTTGTATGTGTACATGTAGTGCGGTTGTGTGAGTGAATGGGTAGTGTGCGGTCACCATGCCTCTTCACCCCCTCCTTGTTATAGACGGTGTTTCTCACGCGTCGAATCTCCAACACTTTAGTACCCGGCGCACTTGATGTATGTTTCTGTGTTAGCTTTATGTTAAGGTTCAATCGACTTGGAAAAACATTCACTTTTAGTGTATTTATATTATTAAAATTTTTAGTTTTATTCCTAGACTTTAACCTAGCATAGCTGAAGTCATATGTTAGTACTTATCTAAATTTATTGTTTATTTCTTTGTTTTTACATACACTGGAGATATTTTCACTACTTCTATAATAAATTAAACTTTCTTACAAACCCATTTTGATGTTTTATTTCATATTTCATACATTACAATTTTCGAAGAAAAATCAGCAAGAAAAGGTTCCCTGATGCAAGTCGAAAGCTGCTTGTGACCAATTTCATCACTTTAACATCCGCAACCAGTAACTATTACAGTTAAGCTAGTGCCTTCGACGAGATTGCAAAAGGCGGCAAAATAGCAATTGGATACTTCGCCAAAATAGCGAAATGGCCTTTGCCTGTAGGACGTTTGCAGATACGTTGCCTACCTATCGACAAAGTAGAAGACGCCCAGAAAAGTTATTTCCCCTTCCTCTGTCAAATACAACTCTTCGAGTCCGTTCCTTTTAAGAAAATGGAAAGAGGAATAGAACAAATTAGGCCTTCGGGACGTACTCATCCAGACTACACGGTATTGCTTCCACTTCACGCCTGTCTTCTGTTTGGTCGTAGTATTACACCGTTCGAACCACCTCATTCCAGCAAAAGATGTTACTGCAGATTCTACCATATCTTTTTGTTACTGCCGAGAACAGAAAATAGAAATCTCACTAAAGGACAATGAACAAGTCTGTCGGGTATGTGTCCCCACCCAACAACAGACGTAGGATTTTCAATATACTTATGACTACCCATGAAAGTACTAATAACCATTTTTCAACTGAGAAACAATGGGGTTTATAAAAAAAGGAGCCACAATTGTTTATAAAGCTAAACCTAAGAGCAAAGTGCAAATCTTGAGAAAAAGAACAAATACTTATAAATATTTTTCATACAAGTTGTGAGCAACATTGCATTCTTAAATTGTAACTATTGAAAATTCTATATGTAGACCATGGGCGTCGCTGTTTTCATAACTCAATACAAGCAGATTCATTGTCTATAGAACTTTTTAAAGCTAGCTTACGCCTGCGCACTGCCTGCGCGGAAGAAAAAAAAACTTATGCGTTCCTTTCTACCTATGTTTTCTCTCACATTACGTTCTAAATCCATGTCGATTATCGAGATTTGTTAAACCAGAACGGCTTCAAACATCCATCCATTCATCAAAATTTTTAATTTATAATATTTTAGTAAGAAATAAGATTAGTAAGCTTAATAAGAAATCGGTTGAATGTCATGCGGTGTGAGACTGAAAGTGTCAGAGGCCACGTATTGCAACAAACATAGTGCCTACTTTATAAGTTCTGATAAGAATTGCATATAACAAATAAATATGCTAATAAATATTGTGCAAATTTAACCGAATGACCGACTAGAGTATATTATTTCTATTTAATCATTTAAATGTAGTTACAGTAATTTATGTGACAGGTACTTTTCTGTATTCGTAAGGTTTTGTAAAAATAATGTAGAGATGTTCGAAATTTGAACTAAAAAAAAAGTAAATAGTAACGTCAATTGGCGCTTTTAAGCCAGAACCAAGCAATAACTGTCATTTCCAAAATGTCCAGTGTTTCTATAGATTTCTGTGATGTAGGCGGTGCATAATTCAGCCACCATAATTAATCTCACTGATGATTAGATGCTTCTGGGAAAGCAATATTATGAATTATTAGTTATTATCTTCATGTCAATACTAAGTTATTAGTAGTCGCATTATAAATCTTAATTCTTATCTTACTTGTATCTTACTAATGAGAATGTTTGGATTTATCGATGGATGTATGTTTATTAGAAGTTAACTCTAGAAGTAGTAAAGGCAAAGGAAACTTTGACTATGGAATATTTTGCATTACGGTCGTTTTTAGCTGACTTCTAAGGATAGATTTCTCATAATAAAGTATACCCTGAGCGACCATTACGACTGCGAGTATGACAGTTATAGACCCAAAACGTTGAGAATAATATGAACGAAGTATTTCGTTATTGTTATATTTATAAAATTAGATAACATAACCGCAGTTTCTATCTTGTTTTGGCTGTCCAGGATTGAAGTTCATGCTATTTTAGCCCTTATCTCATTGACATATGAGCTTTAGTCCTTGTTCTGATTGTGGTCAGGACTTCTATTCGTTCCTGATATTTGATGCACACGTTTTTACGAAAAAATAATATAAATTGGTCAATTTTTGTTTATCATATCAGTCGAGAACAAGGCTTTCCGACTGACTGTCTTTCGGAAGTTTGGCAACTTTTTTTGTTTTTTTTTTTTAATAATTCATCCAAGAGTCAGGTAAGAGTTATAATTATATTTATTTAAAATAATGTACCGTGAACGAATTTACATTTATTATTATTAACAGATTTTAGCGAATCAAAATGGCCGATTCAAAAGAAAATCTATTACTTTTCTTCGACCGTCCCACGGAGCCATGCTTCATGCAAAAGGGGGAGGAAAGATCTACCTTTCAGATACCTGACAATTTCTACGTAAGTTTATAAATATACTAGCTCTCGTCTGTTACTCCGTCTGCGCGGAATTAAACTTAGTAGCCTATGTGTTCTTCTAGGCTATGTTCTACATTTGTACCAAATTCCAGCAATATCCATGTAGCCGTTTTGGAGATACCTTCAAACAAATATTCATCCATTCATTTAAACATTCGCGTTTATAATATATAAGTAAGGTTTCTGAGATCAAAATCCCTGTTTAAAATACATCGTCATCACTGTCATTACCTTTGACAAAAGAAATTGGGGATTTTGGTCTCAGAAACCCACGGTAAATAGTATAAATGGAAACTATTTAGTTTTGCACAATATGTTTTTACTTTTACATATATTTTCTATCGCGACTAAGAAAACTTAATTCACCTCTACCATACTTTCGGTCTTCTTTATGAAGCCATCTTCTTTCCCTTTCTTGTTATTTCCTATCTCTCCTGTATTTTTAGACATTATTAGTTAGAATCCTTTGTCATGAATGGCGTGCTTTTGTTACAAAGTCAAGTGTCAGAATGATTAGTGAGGGGACATAAACGTCGACATTTTAGTAAGGCTAGTGTTGCGCTACTCCGGCAAACTGTCGGATTTTCTTCCTAATAGTATATACCAAACTAACCTAATTCAATTACAGCCAGATAAATACAAGGCAGTAAGCAACACCTTGGCTAATCGCTTCGGTGCTGATTCTAAGTCTATCCCGGTGAACGAGATAGCTCTTCCGAATCTACAACTGCCGATGGAGCTGCCGTTCAACAACCAATTCTCTCTGTTCGTGCCTAAGCATAGGAAAATGGCGGGCAAACTTATTGACATATTCATGGGTAAGGAACGATTACATGCATGAAGCTATAAAATGTAAAAATCCACTAAAATGTCGATTGTTCATCCATAATTTTAATCTATTTGGTTCAAATTCAAATATTGTTTAGAGGGTGAACAATTATGTACTGTATTTATATTTTGTACTATACCGTTGGTTTCTGAGACTAATCTCTGTATAAAACATATCGTCATTCCTGTCTTTGACAAAACAGAGATAAAAGTAAGTTTTAAACGGAGATTTAAGTCTCAGAAACGCAACATTAATACAAAGCAATTAAGATAATTATCAGACTGATCTCAAGGAATATTGATGTCAGTCGGGTGTGTAAAAGTAATAAATAAGATCTCACGCCCTTAATCCGAAGTTACGCAGAAATCGTCAACCTTCAACTTTCTTTTAAGATTTATTTTTTTCTAGGTATGAGAAACGTTAAAGATTTGATATCGATATGTTCGTACTGCCAACTACGCATCAACCCTTATATGTTTAACTATTGTCTGTCGGTTGCTATTTTACACAGGTAAATATATTTTTTTTTACAAATTTTTATAGCTTTCATTCAGTCAAGTTTCTTTGACCAAAAACAAATATAATTTTTTCTTTCTAAACTATTAACTACACATTACTTCTTACTTTGTTTTCATCCTAGACCTGATACTAAGGGATTAGACATCCCTACGTTTGCTGAAACATTTCCTGACAAATTTATGGACCCTAAGGTATTCCGCCGCGCACGAGAAGTCAGCACCGTGGTTACTGCAGGCGTGAAGGTATGTAGAGTCAAACGAAGCTGTGTAAAATTAAAAAAAAATCTTATAAATAACAGTATGCTATTGTAACTTTGTGTCTCTAATGCCATTTATGTTTAGTGCTAATTAGCAAAGAGGTTGAATGATCGGCCTTCAAATGTAAGAAACTCTTAGATTGGAATATAACAGCCATTCCAAACTAACTAAAGAGAAAAGACTTTAGGCATAATTCGCCATTAACTTATCAACTTTAAAAAAAACAAGAGAGTTCTCATTTTTTTTCCGAATTCGAAATTCAAAAAGTTAACCGACACAAACTTCATTTATCAGATGCCGATAACAATACCATTGAATTACACCGCGTCACCATCTGAACCGGAGCAGCGTGTGGCATACTTCCGTGAAGATATGGGCATCAATCTTCACCATTGGCACTGGCATTTGGTCTACCCGTTTGATGCCGCAGACCGCGCTGTAGTCAACAAGGACAGGAGAGGAGAACTCTTTTATTACATGCACGAGCAGATCATTGCCAGGTATAATCACAGTTTGTTTCTTTTTTTATATTATAAGGTTGCAAACGAGCTACCGACCACCTTACTTCGCCGGAATAGCGAAGTCACCGCTGCCCATAGACATCCGTAATTGCACATGCGTTGCCTACCTTAATAGCCAGAGGACTTTATATTTTTTTCCATTATAAGAAAAGGGATGGAAGGGAATCGGGATAGGCATCTGCTCTCTTTTCTCAAGGAAGCGGAGAGGGATCACCATATGATCGTAGATTGATATTTCAAATATGCTTATTAATTAACTTCAATTAATTTAAATGTTTCTCTTCTAGATACAATACAGAACGATTGTGCAATAATTTGGGAAGAGTAAAACGCTTCAACAACTTCCGAGAGCCAATAGAAGAGGGTTACTTCCCCAAACTGGACTCGCAAGTGGCCAGTCGAGCTTGGCCTCCCAGGTAATTAATTATTACTTTACTTTACTAATCACTTTTAGACATTATTCATTAGAATCCTTTGTCGCAAATGGCTCGCTTTTATTACAAAGTCAAGTGTCAGAATGATTAGTGAGGGGACATAAACGTCGACATTTTAGTAAGGCTAGTGTTGCGCCACACCGGCACAGTGTCGGATTTTCTTCCTAACATTACTAATATTATAAATGCGAAAGTTTAGATGGATGTTTGTTTGAAAGTATCTCTTGATGAAATTTTGCACAGATATAGAACATAATCCGGAAGTACTTATAGGCTACTCTACTCTCTACTAATAGGCTACTCATTCAGTTTTTTATTTATTCCGCGTGGACGGAGTTACGGTCGACGACTAGTTACTAATAAAATATATTAAATGCGAAAGTTTTTACTTTCGAGTTTTTACTCGAAAACAGTTGAATCGGGATGTAATTTAGAACAAATATCTGTTTACTAAGTCAGTTTTTCAACGCTATGCGGACGAAGTTGTGATAGCTTTGATATAATTTTCTTGATATATTTTCCTTATAATAAATACGAGATAGCACTCTGAGTCATTGTTTGTCACTAGAGTTTGACGTCAGAATGGTTACACGTGGATATGTAGAGATAATATTTCTATTGAGTAGATTTTTTAGAACTAGAATTAGAACTGTACTCATTCCCTCTATTAAGTGATGATCAGGGCCAAAATGATATATCAACTGTCCACTTCATTCGACATAAATCATTTTAGAATAAATAAATTATTGGAAGTGGATGGTTACAAAGGTAGAGGAAAACAAAAGAAAGTATGGATTGTGTGACTCTTTCCCGCTGTCATATCGAAATAGATATGACGGCTCATAGAGATGTATGGAAGAGTAGGACATACTATGCTAATCGAATGATAGATTTATGATGATGTTAAATAGAAAATAGCTAAAATAACGCTTGGTCAAGTATCCCACGTGATGTTAAGCGTTGATTTGGTCGAAACGTTACGTTCGCAATATTAATATAGCGCAAGATTTATTTCTCTAGAAGCTTTCCATAACTTATTTGAATTTACGATTCTTGCTCGCGTGATTAAAACTCGTACTAGGAACAACCTAGTACGGAGTAAGTTTTTATTTCGTATTTGGATTTGTAAGTTCGATGCCCATAATCAAATTTAGTTGTATGCATAAACTTCGATAGGATTGAAAGAGGCAGATAAAGGAAGGTTTTTTGTAATGGGAGATAGATCTAACTTCTTACTAATATTATAAATATGAATATTTTGATGCATGGATGTTTGAAGGTATCACCAGAAGGGCTAAACGGATCTCGATTAAATTAGGCATACATATAAAATATAGTCTGGAAGACTGATGGAGTCTGGAAGAAGTATGGGCTACCAATTAGTTTTTTTTTTAATTCCGAGAAGACGGAGTCGGGCGACAGCTATACAATAAAATAAATTTTATTTTAAAGGACAATAATTAAATTCGATTACTACTTTTATGGTTTGATTTAAATGGAAAATCATCGTAAGACTCAATAAGCTTGAACTTTCTCGAAATACTTAGAATATTGACAAGCAAAATTAACCTAAAACAATATAGGGTTGTACCTAGTTGTCATTAAGTACTTTCCCTATGTCAATTACAGATTCGAAGGTTCATCAATTCGAGACTTGGACAGACCGGTCGATCAGATCAGGAGTGAAGTTGCAGAACTAGAGACTTGGAGAGATCGTTTCATTGAAGCTATACAGAACAATGCTGTTCTACTGGTAAATACAATATCTTGTTCCAATCCAAAGCTTTATTATTTCAACCATAGGCATACTATAATTTTTAAATAATAGTAGTTAATCTTACTTCCTTACTTGTAGACATTATTAGTTAGAATCATATGGCGCGAATGACACGCTTTTGTTACAAAGACAAGTGTCAGAATGATTAGTGAGGGAACATAAACGTCGACATTTTAATAAGGCTAGCGATGCGCCGATACACCGAAACAGTGTTGGATTTTTTCTCAACATTACTAATATTATAAATGCGAATGTTTGGATGTTTGTTTGAAGGTATCTCGTGAACGGCTACATGAATCTCGCTGAGATTTGGCATGCATACACAACATAGTTTGGAAGAAAACATAGGCTACTAATTATGTTTATTTTGATTTCGGACGGAGTCGCGCGCGACAGCTAGTTACACTATAATCTTGGTAAAAAGTAAAAATATTATTAGCTAAAAAATTGACAAGCGTAATTGCCGCCATTTGAAATATGACGTTTAGGTGTTTACATTTATGCGTTCAACAGAAATAAGATAATATAGGTTAGGATTATTATCACGTTGTTTACATGTGATCAGAGTTTCTAATGTTTTTACTTTTATAATTTATCTGTGGGGCTAGACGAACATTCGATAAGCGAAGTCATTAATTGAAAAGTCAAAAATATAAAAAATAAAAAACATACAGATGAATTGAGAACCTCCTCCTTTTTGTAGTACGTTAATAAGTTACAATATCTTTATATATGTCTTTTTCTATGTAAAAAAATATCGTGCATGTCAAGTATTTTCCTATACATTTTGACGATTTTACTAGCAATAGTAATAATCGAGCAAGTAATAAGAGCGTCGGTGGCTCAGGTGTCAAGCACTTGACTTGCAATCTGCAATTCCTGGGTTCGAATCCCGCCATGTACCAATGTGTTTTTCGATTACGATTTACATATGTACATTTATCCGACGTTCTTATCGTGATGAAGTCAACCAACCCGCACTTGCCAGCGTGGTTGACTATGGCCTAATCACCCTTAACTTAGAGTAGGCTCCGAGCCCCTCGATGGGGACGTATAGTGAGCTGATGATGAGTAATAATCGACTGTTATATTGTCTACACTCACTGCAAACGATGTTGTAAAATTAATTTAATTAGTAACTCTACTTATATCTAATCTTAATAATATTATAAATGTGAATGTTTGGATGGATGGATGTTTGTTTGATGTAGAAAGACTGAACGGATTTTAGCAGACATGTAGAACAAATTCTGGAAGAACACATAGCCTACTTAATTTTTTTTAATTCCGCGCGGACGGAGTCGTGGTCTGCCAGTCATATGTATGATTATTTTTAACCTATAAGCTACCAATTCCAAGAACAAAACACATTTCAAAATGTAGGTATCTATATATTTTTTTCTGATGAAAGATGGCTGCCCAATTTGCTCATTTAAAAACTATTGCGTAATGATGTTATTGTATGCAAAAGTACAAATTACAATTTGTATAAAGTGATTTATTTTTTTAATGCAGCCAAACGGCAGTCAAATGCCTTTAGACGAAGAAACAGGCATAGACGTGCTCGGTAACCTGATGGAATCCTCTATCATCAGCCGCAATAGGGTCTACTACGGGGATCTACATAACATGGGCCACGTGTTTATCTCTTATTGTCATGATCCTGACCATCGTAACTTGGTACGTGGATGTTTTTTTTATAGTTAGATGGTAAACGAGCATTCGGCCACTTCATTCGCCGAGATGGCAAAACGAACGCAAGAGACACCCGTAATTGCTGATGACCTTCCTCTTATCAATGGAGGAGAAGACCCATAGGAAGGGCAAATATTCTCTTTCTGTGCGTTCCATCATTTCCTTGGAACAAAATAGTTTGAAGGGGAAGAGGATTAAAATTAGGTCTCCTGAATGATATCCAAAATGATATTTTAAAAAAGTTTAATAAAAGTTTAGCATTATTGTTTTTAATTGACTGAAAAGGTGAAGGTCCTTAATACCTTTGTAAGTTTTTTTTTAAATTTATACAGGAACAATTTGGAGTGATGGGTGATTCGGCTACGGCCATGCGCGACCCTGTATTTTATCGCTGGCACGCGTATGTTGATGATCTGTTTACGATGTATAAGAGCAAATTACCACCTTATGGAGATGACAGGGTGAGTAGTGTTATATAACCTCTTTTTAGATCGAGTATTCGGCCAGTTACATTTGGTAAATACTTTGTAACCAAAGAAGAAAATAAAAAAAAATGTATATAATTGATTCATTTGTTAAATGACAACTGCAAAATAGTTGATTGTTCATGGGTTTTTGAGACCAAAAACGACGTTTAAAAATATTGTTATCACTGTTTTGTCAAAGAAGTTTTGGTTTCAAAAACCTACTGTTATTTATAAAAAGAATTTTCAACATAACTTATTAATATGCAAATTCAACTTCAACATAATTGACTTATTCCAGTTGGATTTCCCTGGTATTCGTGTGTCATCTATCAATATCGAGAGTCCTGCAGGCGCTAACACGTTTGCAACTCAATGGGAACAGAGCACGGTGGAACTGAGTCGTGGCATGGACTTCACGCCACGTGGAAGTGTGCTCGCTCGCTTTACACATCTACAGCATGATGAATTCGTCTATGTGTGAGTATTATTTTGTGTCAAAAAGAGACAAAATATACAGGAGTTTCAGTTCAATAAAAGTTTGATGAAATATACCAAAATGCAATATACGTTATTAATTGTGTCGTGAATATGATTTGAATCTAATCATATGCTAATAAAAATTATTATTGTTACAAAAAAGTTTAATTTAGAAGTGACTTGAATCGTTGAGCTGCTTTATAACTAAATTTGCAGTTCACGGCTCATCGCGATTTACTATAAATATGTGAGCTGCCCGGTGATTCGCTCATCACTTAAATCATAAGTCTATGCCAGTTGAGCTGCGAGCCGGTTCACTGATATGCTTCACACCGTAATGAACAGTGGTGAACCGTGAGCTGATCTGCGGGTCATCAATTTTATTTGAGTTACTCATAACTAGTATTGATTGTCTAGGATCGAAGTAAACAATACCCTCGCTCAAGCCGCTACGGGAACTGTACGTATATTCATGGCACCCACCGTTGACGAAAACGGTGCCCCGCTTACCTTTGAAGACCAGAGACGACTCATGATCGAATTGGACAAGTTTACCCAACCATGTAAGTATAATTGTTAAGTCGGGGAAAGTGGAGACTTTTGTTGGAGGCCAAAGCCTACTTCGGGTCGCTGCGTCACCCTACCTAGTTAATATTTTTAGGACTAAGATCCTACGATCATTTATATATTCTTCATGAGAACCGATATGATACAAATTCCAGTGAATGCGGGAACCAACACGATCCGACGTAGGAGTATCGAATCATCAGTGACAATCCCATACGAGCGTACGTTCAGGAATCAGTCTAACCGACCGGGGACCGCGGGCTCTGCACAAGCCGCACAGTTCGACTTCTGCGGCTGCGGCTGGCCTCACCACATGCTTATACCTAAAGGCACACCTGAAGGATATCCTGTGGTAGTCTTCGCTATGGTCACCAATTGGGATGAAGATAAGGTATGTCCCGTACTTCAGACACATATTTTGTTTTGACAATTCTTGTACACATATTGTCGTCTCTTTTTATTTAAAGAGAATTTGAGGGAACACAATATTGTGATAATATAAGTCTAAATGCAGTAGAAACCTACAGTAATATTATAATAACGCTTCTCTAAGCAATGTTCATATATAAAAATATTTGGGTTAGTTATTGGGTTAGAAAAGAAAAGGAACAAAAGAATGAGAATGAGAGAAAGAGATGCAAGAGTTATATAAACTAAAGAAACTCAATTAGTAGCATGTGTGTCCTTACAGGCTATCTTTTACATCTGTGCCAAATTTCATCAAGATCCGTTAAGCCGTTCCAGACTGTACCTTCTAACAAACATCCATTCTCTTTTATTGCATTTATAATACTAGTAAGATTTCATTAATTTCCCAGATCGAGCAAGATCTAGTAGGAACCTGCAATGATGCTGCGGCATATTGCGGCATCCGTGACCGTCGCTACCCGGACAAACGTCCCATGGGATTCCCCTTCGACCGTCCCGCGCCTGTTAGCATCTTAGAAGACTTCCTGAAACCAAACATGGCGATCAAACAATGTAACATTCGCTTCACCGACGCCACCCGAGTACGTACACAGCAAGGGTAGGTTATTTTGATAGTTAAAATTTAAGCCGTCTTTACAAAAACCATAAACATTTTTAAGATTTGTAACTGGCAACTTTTTTGTTTCTGATTTTTAAACGTGTTTTAATACGTGATCTTTGATATAATGATTGAATTTTGTAATAATCTAAAATCATCTATAAATATCAATAAAATATAAGTTTTTGTAAATATGGCTTTATATTTTACTAGCTTGACAGCTGTCATTATGACATTAAGGTATGCAGTCTAAAGAAACAGATAAAAAAAGTTATGTTTAAAAATATTTTGACCGGAATTTTTCACGAAAAGCCGTTTTTTTAATTTCATTTTGTTTAAATCTCTACCTGTCAAACGAGTGTATGTATACGATAACACTACAAAATAAAAATAGTGAATTTATCTTTGAATCTGTAATTATGTTAAATTGTCGTGTAATGTTGTTCGATTTAAAAATTATTAAAAAAAATATGTATTTTTTCATAATTACCGTAAACAAAAATAAAAATACAAAAGTAAGATTAATGATGATTCGATTCTAATAGAAAATTGATGTATTTGTCTAGATTTAAGGCAGTAAAATGTATTCTATACTATAGATCAAGACCAAGCAGTAACACGCAGCTGTGTGGATGCCAGATGGAATATACTGCGAAGGACATTGACAAAATAATAAGAAAGCCATATTATTTTAATAAAATAAAACAGAAAAAATATTGCCCAGATTACATATTTTCACAGATAAAAAATATTAAACCATAGTTTTTTTTTAATAATCTTTGAAGACATCGGTAAAAAATTTGCTAAAAAAATTAACCTATTAATATTTCTTTGTAGTGTTCTTAATTTAAATTAAAATAAGATAAAATAATTCCTATGAAATATTATTGATAATTAATAATTTTAATTAAATACGGGTCATTTTATTTAGATTTAATTCTGTCAATATATTGTATTTTATTTATATCTATTTATAAGACTTAATAATTATTGTTTTTTCATATTTTGTTGTTTTATTCATGAACCGTTCTAATAGGTGTTTAGGCTAGTAAATATTTTTTCTCTATTATTAGGGAACGTACTCATACTACGTGACCCGTTTAGGGGGGGGGGGTCCTTAAAATACTAGTCAGGTTTTTGTCACGTAGTCGTTACTTGTTATTTTTCATAATACACAATTCACTAGTAATTTAAGTATGCATGAAGTCTTATGCTATAAAGGCGAGTATGAGACAATTTTTTTTTAATTTTTGCCTGTGCAATGATTAAAAATCATAATCATGAATTACTACGTAAAAACTAAAGGGGGGGGTCTTAGCTTGTACTACGAGTGGTCACCGAGGGGAGGGAGGGGTCGAAATGACTAAAAAATAGGTCACGCAGTATGGGTATGTTCCCTTTAGAAAAAAAAATAATATTAATATTTTTTAAATAATTTATTAACATTTTAATATACATACTTACTATTTCTGTTATTCTTAATTAAATGCACAATGAATTTAACTATATATAACCTTTCGTCACGCCCCCACTGGCATCATGTAGTAATCTTTATTTCTTTCAGCGTTAATTAATTCCATAGTTCTGTAATTCGGAGATTCCAAACCAGAATACGTCGGTATATATCTTATTTCTGGAATATTCGATCTTCTGAGCGGATATTCAGATCGATATGTGGGGAAATAGGGGTATCTGGGGTAGTTGGGTAGTTTGGGGTAGCTGGGATAATTGGGTCGATTAGGGTCATCGCGCTCATGTATCTCAATTCTTAACGGTGGGGTTTGTGTGGTTGTTACCGCGTTTGAACATCGGCATGATTCCGTTTGTGACTGGGGTTCGCATGGAGCTTGTGCGTTGGCGAATGCACAATATGCTGCCAGTATAATTGCCGCGATCTGAAAAATAATAATTTAATGAAAATTTATACAATAAAACCTTAGCGCACGTTTTAAAGATTCCCGAACTTGTACATTTTCAAATATACAAGTTACTTTATACAGGATGATTCTCAATTCTTAATAGCTTTTAAGCTTAAAGTATGTTCCGTGATTTTCTACAGAACTAAAGTTCATTTTTTTTATAAAATTTTTATGAAACATCCTGTACTATAAAGATTATACTTTTTGACAGAAAAAGCAAATCCTGAGATAATTTTATTTGAGTTTATAATTTTCAAAATAAAGTTAAATACGAAAGAAATTTTAAAAAATAAATACCTGCACTCCGAAGGCCATATTGAAAACTAGTAGTATAATAAGAAATTTGTATTCTTATATACTTATAATACAATGCAACTTAATGTGCGGTTACATCAACCAAAATTAATAAATAATAATTAAACAAAATTAACTTAATTATGACCTTATGTGCCGTTTTAATTATGTGGTTATCACGTCATTTTAATAATATTCAAAGAATTTTAATTACAATTACATTCGAATTAGAAATTATGAAACGCAATTTTCTGGTATCAATTATCATGGGATATGGCAACACTGGAACCAAAGACATTTAACATATACGTATCAACAGACAGGACATAACGAACCAAACCGTACGCTTAAAGTCTCGTCTACTTTGAAGCATGTTTTTTTTAAATATTATAAGGTGGCAAACGAACAAGCGGCCACCTGAAATCACTGAAATAGCGAAGTGACCGTTGCCCATAGATATTCGCCATTTCATATGCGTTGCCTACCTTTATTCGACGGAGGAGAGGATGCACAGAAAGAAAATACTTTCCCTTCCCATGCATCCTCTCATCCGGAAAGTCCACTTCCACTTCCTATCATTTCCTTATAAGAAATAGGATGGGAAGGGAAAGGGGAATAAATTAGGCCTCCGGGACGCACACTCATCAGACGAAATGCGGAATTGCTTCCACTTCACGCCTGTCTTCTGTGTGATATTTCACCAGGCGAGCCGGGCCAATTCGTGCGAAGATGTTACAGCGGGCGCTACCACTGTTAGAATTGTCTATTAGCGATTATGTGTGATTATGCTCAAGAAAAGAAAGCATTCGTAATGTCCGTTCTATAAGTAGTATATTTGAATCTCTTTGTAATACACGCTAGAATATGATAAAGGTTATCGCGCAGTCTGTCTTTGTATGACTATTTAGTACAAAGTGAAGAACCTTTAGTAATATAGCAACTTACCGATATCAGCAACTGGTAGATACAAAATTTACACGAGTATTTTATTTATCGAGCGTCGGTGGCTCAGAGGTCAAGGACTTGACTTGCAATCTGCAGGTCCTGGGTTCGAATCCCGCCATGTACCAATGTGTTTTTCGATTTCACATTTACATATGTACATTTATCCGACGTTCTTACGGTGAAAGAAAACATCGTGATGCAACCTGCACATATCTGAGAAGAAATTCAAAGATATGTGTGAAGTCAACTCGCACTGGGCAAGTGTAGTTGACTATGGCCTCGTCACCCGTGACTTTGGGTAGGCTCCGAGCCCCTCAGTGGGGACGTACAGTGAGCTGATGATGATGATTTTATTTCGATAATATTTATTAAGAGAAGTACTGTAGTATAAATTTTTCGCCTTTTAACTTAATGTTACCCATCTTCTGTCTGTTCCTCTCGTTATAATGAATGCGTTTTATGAAAGATTAAATTATTTCGATCATCATCATCATCAGCCTTTATTTGCCCATTCAGCCTGACCTCTATTAGAATGCTGGGAAAATTTCCACGACGCTCTCTTCTTTATCATGCCAATTGGGGGTTTAAAGAGTTATGCGAGACTCTGTAATTTGAACACTATGTGGCCTCTTTTTGTCTAGCGCCCTGAGCGACCACCCAGCCGCGTCCTACATTAGCGCAAGTACTGTGCCCAGCAGGACTACCAATGCCGTTGTTAAACAGTAATTTTAGTAAATTTTGTTAAGTTTTTTCTAGAGGTTTCTGAAG